ATCTTTTCAACCTTTTTCAAAAAGGGAGGATCAGAGCCAGGGCACAAATTGGTAAGATCACCAGTGCAAGAGATGGTTTCTTGCACAAAGGCTTAACAGCCACTCATTTGAGGGAAGCTGGTACTTGCCTTCTGAAGGAATGAGTTAATATTGACAAGTGAACCCCCAGTACTTCCCTGTTCAGTTTTACAAGCCATGAATCCCAAGTTTCAGGATTAAAACACATTTCCAGCAGTAAATGGGCTGCACTGCAGTCAGAAGTTGCATTTGTTCTCTTCAGACGTAATCTGTCATAAACGTAGCTCACCTGTTCTGGACATTATCAACCCTGTCTGTGTGATAAATAGTCTGATCTTTTGCAGTGTGAAGAATCTACTGTGTCTGACAAGACACAGCCACCTCAAATAATGCAACAGGATGAAGGCATGCTACCAGCTCAATGTCACATCAAAATAGAAAGATCAGAGTTGCAGCTAGAAACTCAAAGATCAGTGGGAGATCTCTGTAGCTCTGTTCAGGTAAGTTCTGTGTATATAGTTAATTTTTTATACCCTAGCAAGACCCAAAAGTGGCAGTCAACATCAGGCTCCTGTTGTTGTAGCAATTGTACAAAGAGGGTCCCTGCTCCACAGAATTTACAATCTAATGTGAAACAAGAATAGCGGAGAAGTGGGGAAAGAGGTTAAGGTTAATGGTAATAAGATCACATTGTGACTGACATCAACTGTCTGTTGCAGAACTCAGAAAGGCTATTAATGACAACTCTTCATCTAGTAGATACATTACTTATCCATTCAGAGCAATGGGAGTTTCCTGCAGCTCTGATATTTCTGTTTTGATACATCCTATCACAGACTGTGGGGTTTTTTTTTTTAAAAGCAGCCCTCTGGAATTTCATAAAAAAATATGCTTTTGGAGCAGTGTTCGGTCTCTAGTTACTGCTTTGTCATTTTCATGTTTAATTTACATATTCAGATAAATGAATTTTAATTTAAGACCGTATTAGAAATCACTTCCTTTTTCCTAATAGAAAAGAAGTACTTGTGGCACCTTAGAGACTAACCAATTTATTTGAGCATAAGCTTTTGTGAGCTACAGCTCACTTCATCGGATGCATACTGTGGAAACTGCAGAAGACATTATATACACAGAGACCATGAAACAATACCTCCTCCCACTCCACTCTCCTGCTGGTAATAGCTTATCTAAAGTGATCACTCTCCTTACAATGTATATGATAATTAAGTTGGGCCATTTCCAGCACAAATCCAGGTTTTCTCACCCTCCGCCCTCGCACACACAAACTCACTCTCCTGCTGGTAATAGCTTATCCAAAGTGACCACTCTCCCTACAATGTGCATGATAATCAAGGTGGGCCATTTCCAGCACAAATCCAGGTTTTCTCACACACCCCCCTCCCACCCCCATACACACACAAACTCACTCTCCTGCTGGTAACAGCCCATCTAAAGGGACCACTCTCCCCACAATATGCACGATAATCAAGGTGGGCCATTTCCAGCACAAATCCAGGTCTTCTCACCCCCTTCCCCCCCCACAAACTCACTCTCCTGCTGGTAATAGCTCATCCAAACTGACCACTCTCCTTACAATGTGTATGATAGTCAAGGTGGGCCATTTCCAGCATAAATCCAAGTTTAACCAGAATGTCTGAGTGGGGGAGGGTAGGAAAAAACAAGGGGAAATAGGCTACCTTGCATAATGACTTAGCCACTCCCAGTCTCTATTTAAGCCTAAATTAATAGTATCCAATTTGCAAATGAATTCCAATTCAGCAGTTTCTCGCTGGAGTCTGGATTTGAAGTTTTTTTGTTGTAAGATAGCGACCTTCATGTCTGTGATTGCGTGACCAGAGAGATTGAAGTGTTCTCCGACTGGTTTATGAATGTTATAATTCTTGACATTTGATTTGTGTCCATTTATTCCTTTATGTAGAGACTGTCCAGTTTGACCAATGTGCGTGGCAGAGGGGCATTGCTGGCACATGATGGCATATATCACATTGGTGGATGTGCAGGTGAACGAGCCTCTGATAGTGTGGCTGATGTTACTAGGCCCTGTGATGGTGTCCCCTGAATAGATATGTGGGCACAGTTGGCAACGGGCTTTGTTGCAAGGATAGGTTCCTGGGTTAGTGGTTCTGTTGTGTGGTATGTGGTTGCTGGTGAGTATTTGCTTCAGGTTGGGGGGCTGTCTGTAGGCAAGGACTGGCCTGTCTCCCAAGATTTGTGAGAGTGTTGGGTCATCCTTCAGGATAGGTTGTAGATCCTCAAAGAAACTGCGGAATCATCTGATCAACATCCTCTACAGCAAACAGGGAAAGATTAAGAATGAGCTCTCAAAAATGGATACTCTCATAAAAAACCAACCTTCCACACAAACTTCCTCGTGGCTGGAATTTACTAAAACTAGACAAGCCATTTACAACGCACACTTTGCTTCTCTACAAAAGAAAAAGGACACTAAACTTTCTAAACTACTACATGCTACAAGGGGCCACAGCAATGGTTCCCTCAACCCACCCAGCAATATTGTTAACCTATCCAACTATACTCTCAGCACAGCAGAAGCAGCTGTCCTATCTCGGGGCCTCTCCTTCTGCCCCTCCACCTGCACGAACATGATACAGTTCTGTGGTGACCTAGAATCCTATTTTCAACGTCTCCGACTCAAGGAATATTTCCAAAATACCTCTGAACAACATACTAATCCACAGAGGCCTCCCTACCAACATTACAAAAAGAAGGATTCTAGGTGGACTCCTCCTGAAGGTCGAAACAGCAGACTGGACTTCTACATAGAGTGCTTCCGCCGACGTGCACAGGCTGAAATTGTGGAAAAGCAGCATCACTTGCCCCATAACCTCAGCCGTGCAGAACACAATGCCATCCACAGCCTCAGAAACAACTCTGACATCATAATCAAAAAGGCTGACAAAGGAGGTGCTGTTGTCATCATGAATAGGTCGGAATATGAACAAGAGGCTGCTTGGCAGTTCTCCAACACCACTTTCTACAAGCCATTACCCTATGATCCCACTGAGAGTTACCAAAAGCAACTACAGCATTTGCTCAAGAAACTTCCTGAAAAAGCACAAGATCAAATCCGCACAGACACACCCCTGGAGCCCCGACCTGGGATATTCTATCTACTACCCAAGATCCATAAACCTGGAAATCCTGGGCGCCCCATCATCTCAGGCATTGGCACCCTGACAGCAGGATTGTCTGGCTATGTAGACTCCCTCCTCAGGCCCTACGCTACCAGCACTCCCAGCTACCTTTGAGACACCACTGACTTCCTGAGGAAACTACAATCCATCGGTGGTCTTCCTGATAACACCATCCTGGCCACTATGGATGTAGAAGCCCTCTACACCAACATTCCACACAAAGATGGACTACAAGCCGTCAAGAACACTATCCCCGATAATGTCACGGCTAGCCTGGTGGCTGAACTTTGTGACTTTGTCCTTACCCATAACTATTTTACATTTGGGGACAATGTATACCTTCAGATCAGCGGCACTGCTATGGGTACCCGCATGGCCTCACAGTATGCCAACATTTTTATGGCTGATTTAGAACAACGCTTCCTCAGCTCTCGTCCCCTAACTCCCCTACTCTACTTGCGCTATATTGATGACATCTTCATCATCTGGACCCATGGAAAAGAAGCCCTTGAGGAATTCCACCATGATTTCAACAATTTCCATCCCACCATCAACCTCAGCCTGGTCCAGTCCACACAAGAGATCCACTTCCTGGGCACTACAGTGCTAATAAACAATGGTCACATAAACACCACCCTATACCGGAAACCTACTGACCGCTATTCCTACCTACATGCCTCCAGCTTTCACCCTGACCACACCACACGATCCATCGTCTACAGCCAAGCTCTGCGATACAACCGCATTTGCTCCAACCCCTCAGACAGAGACAAACACCTACAAGATCTCTATCAAGCATTCTTACAACTACAATACCCACCTGTGGAAGTGAAGAAACAGATTGATAGAGCCAGAAGAGTTCCCAGAAGTCACCTACTACAGGACAGGCCTAACAAAGAAAATAACAGAACGCCATTAGCCGTCACCTTCAGCCCCCAACTAAAACCCCTCCAACGCATTATTAAGGATCTACAACCTATCCTGAAGGATGACCCAACACTCTCACAAATCTTGGGAGACAGGCCAGTCCTTGCCTACAGACAGCCCCCCAACCTGAAGCAAATACTCACCAACAACCACATACACAACAGAACCACTAACCCAGGAACCTATCCTTGCAACAAAGCCCGTTGCCAACTGTGCCCACATATCTATTCAGGGGACACCATCACAGGGCCTAGTAACATCAGCCACACTATCAGAGACTTGTTCACCTGCACATCCACCAATGTGATATATGCCATCATGTGCCAGCAATGCCCCACTGCCATGTACGTTGGTCAAACTGGACAGTCTCTACGTAAAAGAATAAATGGACACAAATCAGATGTCAAGAATTATAACATTCATAAACCAGTCGGAGAACACTTCAATCTCTCTGGTCACGCAATTACAGACATGAAGGTCGCTATCTTACAACAAAAAAACTTCAAATCCAGACTTCAGCGAGAAACTGCTGAATTGGAATTCATTTGCAAATTGGATACTATTAATTTAGGCTTAAATAGAGACTGGGAGTGGCTAAGTCATTATGCAAGGTAGCCTATTTCCCCTTGTTTTTTCCTACCCTCCCCCCCCAAGACGTTCTGGTTAAACTTGGATTTGTGCTGGAAATGGCCCACCTTGATTATCATACACATTGTAAGGAGAGTGGTCAGTTTGGATGAGCTATTACCAGCAGGAGAGTGAGTTTGTGTGTGTGTGGGGGGGGGGGGGTGAGAAGACCTGGATTTGTGCTGGAAATGGCCCACCTTGATTATCATACACATTGTAGGGAGAGTGGTCACTTTGGATAAGCTATTACCAGCAGGAGAGTGGGGTGGGAGGAGGTATTGTTTCATGGTCTGTGTGTATATGTCTTCTGCAGTTTCCGCTGTATGCATCCGATGAAGTGAGCTGTAGCTCACGAAAGCTTATGCTCAAATAAATTGGTTAGTCTCTAAGGTGCCACAAGTACTCCTTTTCTTTTTGCGAATACAGACTAACACGGCTGTTACTCTGAAACTTTTCCTAATAGTTTCCCCTTCAGCAAAGGAGAAAGATTAATATTCATCTGGAGACTTCAGTAACTAGGTGTATGATGCCTTGGAATGTGAAGTGCTGAATAGGTGCTAAGAATGACTTGCATCTAGTCCCATGTGACTAATGTAATGAAACAGAGTGCATGACTTACTAAATGTAACTTATTTCTGATTTGAATTACCTGGTGTTGTGTTCAAGGACATAGTTGTGGCTTAAGATTACTTTTGAATATAAGCCTTAAGGCCACTAAACATACTATTTTCATATGTAAATGTATAACAGTCTATCTGCTACCAACAGTGATCTTGGAAAGAAGACCCAAAGAAATTAAAACAATCTGTACAGTACTAGCAGCCAGTAATGAGTAAACAATCATTTGTAATTAAACAGTTCTATTAACATTCAGAACTGTTTGCATTATGTAGTGTTCTCTTTGCATCTTGGGGGCCTGGCCTATGCTAAGGTCTCTGTGCCATTACGGAGCACAGACCTCAGCTCTTCTAAATTAATACTGGAGGAGTCCACAAACATGGGGAAATCCTCTGGGGGAGGGAGGGGGGTTATGGTCTTTGTAACAACTGGCTAGTGGCTATTATGCTAATAAGATCACTGGAATGTAGTGCATGTTGGCCCCAATCCTTCTTGGCTCAGACATGCACCCATGCCTCAAGTTGAATCCTAGGTTTAATGATTAAGTTCCACAATGATAAAATGTGACTTATCTTTGGATCACATTTTCAAAAGTGCTTAAGACCCATTTTCAAAGTGGCTTAGGCTTCTAAATCATGATTATAACACTGTCTAACATTGAATGCATAGTTGTGGTCAGCACTGTACTAGCAAACTCAACTCTTCATATCTGTGTTCTAAGATGAAGATTTTGTAGTGAAGGCAAAGCATTAAAGAGGAATTTCACATTAAAAGGAGGCATTCAGCCTTCTTAGCTGAAGTGCTAAAAGTAGACTAAATTTAACACACTAAATTTACTTTTTTGTGTGTGTTAGATTATAAAAAGGCCAGTGTACCAATAGCCCGGGGGAAAAATAATCCAATCTGTGTTTCTCCATTGGGTATATTCTGCGTTCATTCATAGAACCATAGAATATCAGGGTTGGAAGGGACCTCAGGAGGTCATCTAGTCCAACCCCCTGCTCAAAAGCAGGACCCATTCATCAAAGTACGATTAGAATGTCTTCAAAAGAAATATTTTTAAATGTGTGTCACCGTGTATTCAAATATCTTTTCCAAAGGGAGTCCTGCATTCACAACTTTTGTAACTTATGCCCATTTTTTTAATACTCAGTAAAACATCTGATGTGCTACCGTTAGACCCAGACCTTCAAAATACAGTAAGAAAGAAAATGAAAGGAGAGTAGGAGGGGGAAGTTTACCTAGAAGGTTGATGCTTTTTCCTAAATTAAAGCAAACATTTACAGAACTTTCTGTTGAATTGATTATAACAACTACAACGTACTTGAGTTCTCCAATTAATCTTCCAGCTTAGTTTCTGGTTTCATCTGCTGTCACAATTGCTAAGGATCCAAGATTTTTGCCAACAGTATGATTTAGCACCATCTGTCTTTTCTACTTCACAAGTCTGTTCTCTTCATGGACAGTTGGAGACCTACAGTAGAGGAAACACATTTAGTTCATTTTATTTTTCTTGGCATTTTCCTATTCCTTTATTTGTAGACTACATATCCCTGAAAATTCTACTTACTGGACAAACAGGAGAATGTCAGCAGACCTGCCTTGTTATAAAATGAGACACTTAACTGCTCAGATTAGTTATACAAGTTATAGGCTTATCCATTTGTCTAGATCAGGGGTGGGCAAACTTTTTGGCCAGAGGGCCACATCTGGGTGGAGAAATTGCATGCAGGGCCATGAATGTAGGGCTCAGGGCAGGGGGTTGGGGTGCAGTGTGTGGCAGAGGGCTCAGGGCAGGGGCTTGGGGTGTAGGAGGGCTTTGGGTTGCGGGGTCTGGCCTGGCAGTTGCACACAGCAGGGCTAAGACAGGCTCCCTGCCTGCCCTGGCCCCGCGCAGCTCCCGGAAGCAGCGGCACCACGTCCCTGCAGCCCCTGTGGGTGGGGAAGCAGGGGACTCTGCACGCTGCCCTCGCATGCGGGTACCTCCCCCGAAGCTCCCAGTGGCTGCGGTTCCCCTTTCCTGGCCAATGGGAGCTCCGGGGGGCAGTGCCTGCAGACGAGGGCAGCGCACAGCCCTCTGCCCCACCCCTCCCCCAGGGGCTGCAGGGACATGGTGCCGGCCGCTTCCGGGAGTGGCGCGGGGCACGTGGTGCCACGGGGCACGTGGTGCCACGGGGATGGCCATGTAAAGTACTGGAGAAACTGAGACAATCAGTGTTTCCGTCAGGTTTTCCAAAGGTGACAGGGAATTGCTTTAACTCTCTCACTTATGGTCTCTCCCGTGCTGTTTAGGATGTAAATTCTGGAGGCAAGACTGCATTATCTCCTGTGCCTCAGAGGGATGAGTGCATTATTGGCACTTTGCTGATAACAAGGTTATGCTGCCATGGTTAAAGGCTCCCATCAAGTGAGTTTTTAGATCTATAGACAGTCACAGACTTTAAAGCTGATGGGCACGCCAGCCTCCTTTTATTTAGGGTAAATGGAAGAAGCAATTAAGCTCCTTCTACGGAGAAAGACAGCTAAAACAATAGACACCACCATCCAAGGCGAGAAAGGTCTGAGCAAGAATTAACTCAGGTAGAATAAAAGGGGCTTCCCTGAGACATTGAAAATGCAGGGGCTGAGACATTGATTGGCAGAGCATTGTGTTTGTCAGGAGGAGAAAGCCAGGAGGCAGTGAGAGAAGCAGTGTGAGGTTGGTCCTGAGAGGAAGCCAGGCGTGAACTATACAAAATGCTGGTTGAGAAGACCCATTTGGATTTCTGAACAAGGAAACTGCCTGCTGTCATTTATTTCTATCGTGTTCAGAGAAACAGGACTTTGTGTACATCCTTTGCAAATAAACAGGATTGCATGAAAGAAATATTGACACATCGATTTCTAACAGAAACAAGTGGGCTACTGAATACTGGTTAACATTTTGGCCAAGGGCCAACAAATAGTTAATACCACATAGCCTTCACTTTATTGTATTCCTGCTAGACACTCTGCCTGCCCGTTACTCTCTTCTTAATGGCTACTTGGTCCCTTCCACTCATGACTTTGTGCCTTGTGTCACACAGCCTATGCTTCTGTTTCCTGTGTACTAAGCACGCTTTAGCTCTCTTTAGATCTCTCCTTAAGAACCACTTCTTTTTCCCACCCGCTCTTTGTTTATCCTCTACAGTGTTATCTACTCCCACTCTTGGATGGACTGAAAACAAAGAATGACCTGCAACTAGTTTAAATTGTAAACTCTTTGTGGCAGGGACCTGTCTAAACTATGTCTTGTAAAGTACTCTACACAAGTAATTTCTGCAGCACAAGGTTTAGCAAGTATGTTTTACAGTTCAGGGGTTAAATCAATGAATGACACAAAAAAGGCTAATACAGAACATCATTCTAACTGAAATTGCTACAGTTTAAAGCTTAATTTTCACAGTTGCAGACCTAGTCTCTAATCCTTACATTAACTTCTAAAGGAGCAGCAGTCAATCAGGATGGGGATTTTATGGAGAATTAGCATAGAATTCAGTACAAATAAATGACCTATGAAATTTTAGAAACCTGTTTTGGCTGAGCAAATATCAGACGGTAACAACTTTCAGGCACTGCTAACCTGATTTAAATTAGAACCTACTAATTAAATGGCAAAAGACTCCATTGGTGCCATTGTTAATTGCATTGTATGAAATATCCAGGTGCCGATTCTGGCATCCACTCCATACCATCTATGCTGCTGTGGCCATATACAGTGACTTTACAGAAGCGAGGGGAAAACTCCCGCAGCACAGAAGCAGTGAGGTGTCAACATAAGCAGCCCTGTAACATATGGTGTGTAGGAGAGGGAGCAGCAATGCACTGAATGTTCTAGGGTAGCTGGACTACTGTACAATCCATTGGCAACTCTGGGCAGGTTGTGCTTACAGGCTGCTCTAACTTATGGTGGGGGGCTATTTTGCTGCCCGCCCCCAGTAGCCTAGAATCCAGATGGCACAAAGGTGTTCTAAAGCCATTTGGTTCCCTACTCCTGGGCTGTGCCTCTCCAGATCTGCAACACAGAGACCAAGCCCCCCATATCCCAGAAATCCCTATTTAATTTTGTTCATTATATTAAACAAGACTCAGTACTGCATATGGACATTTGTTACTAGCAAGCTGCTACATGCCTTGAGACAGGGACCACATCTTGACAATATGCAATATTACATTATAAAAAACAACGTTGATGAGATCACCTCTCTAATGCGTTCAGGAGCTCTTGCATCTCTTTCGGTTTCCTGTTGCGAGGTCCATAAACAGCTGTTTGAATCTGCAAACACTGTTTAGCATAAAATGAACGAGAAGTGATACACTGTATAACTCAACTTCAAAATCAACCAAGTTGCACAAATACTGATTATGCCTAGTTATCTACATATTAGCAAAGGAACTCCAGTGGTTCTCCCCAGCTGTGTGGTAGCAGTTGTCATGGCGGTTCATCAGCACTGTTAAATCCCGATAGATAGCCAATCCAGTATCCAGGGGTTCTGCAAGGGAGTAAGTATGCTACATAGTTGCTGGCCTGCTGTATCTTCAGTTACCTGCTGATTCTAAATCCCTTTGTGTGGACTTGGCACAGATGGCAGGTTGATGTAGGCAAATCTCATTACTAACATGAATAAGATCCTCACATCAGACTCCTTGAGAATCTATAGAGAAATAAAGCCTGATATCTCTAGCAGGATTTATAGTTTGGAAAATTAATTTACATTTTCAATCACTATGAGGCAGTAAATCCAAGAAAATCACTAGCAATGTAATTATAATTACCTTATTGAACAGCTGGTAAGCCTCTCTCATCTTTCCCTCTGCCAGGCAGATACTGCCCATGATATGGTAAGTTTCAGCTGCCTTCTCACTAAAATCACCATAGGTGTCTATGATGGACTTCAACGAATCTTTCAACAGCCTGTAGGCTTGCTACAGAGAAAAATGCAACATAACTTAGCACAAAAATATATTCATTTTTCGATCAGCATCTTTAAATGACTGACTGATGCATGTTTAACTCATTTGGAGTTTAACGCCGATGCTTTTTGGGATCTACAGCCATTCTCCAATGATATGGAACCCTTACAGAGTATAATTCTATGCACTGATCTTTAAGACTAATAGTTTAATTTCTACGAAACGGAAACTCAGGAAGTGTGGTATGGTGACCACCTGTCTCTACGAGACATCTGTTATTTGACATCTAATGTCCTGTGTCCCATGTCCAGTCAATGTAGGACATGTCCAGTATTTCAACAATAAGCATGTGACGGGTCATACACTATGATGTCAATGTAAATGCTATTTTGCATTATGTACCACAAAAAACGTTGGAGGATGCTGTAGCTTAAAAATAATCTTAGGGCAAAATTTTCTGAAGTGCCTAGGCGCTTCTGAAAATATTACCTTTTGTCCCCTAATTTTAATTGAGCTGTCCTTTAGGGTGCTTACTTTTTAAGAATATAGGGAGAGTAAAGTTGTATAAAAACCTCTTCTGTCCATCAAATATTGCTTATAGAGGAATCAGAACACGTAGAAACAGGATCTTCATCAAAAATGGGAGAAATCAGGGGTGAAATCCTGGCCTCACTGAAGTCAATAGCATGGATTCTGGGCTGTACTGCCTGCACATTGATTTCAGTGGGACCAGTATCTTACCCCTGTATACCTACTGTTATACTGGAAAGTGTTAATGGCTGCCATCAAGTGTGTCTTTGAGCTATAGGTAATCACAGATCTTGTTAAAGCTGATGGGTGCTGTCAGGCTCCTTTATGGAATATGCTAGCTGGAGGTAGTAGAAGCTACCACCCGAGGCACTAGGCCGTATGCAAGGAGAAGATGAAGCTAAGCCATGTGGGCAGAGGGGTTTTCCTGGGAGCTGATTACAAATGTAGGCATTGGAGGCATTGACTAATTGCAGCTGGTGTGTCTGTGTGAAAGCAAGAGAAAGCCAGCACACAGCGAGGGAAGTGGGTGTAAGCACGGCCCTGAGAGGGATTTGAGACAGACCTTCTTGGGGCACAGAACTGACTGAAAAGGCAGGCATGGAAATTGTGAGCAAGGAAACTGCTGTTTTCTCCTACTGTGTTCAGGGAAATAAGACTTTGGTGCAATCCTGTTTATTTACAAAGGAATACGTAACTCATATAATCAATTTCTCCTCCTAATGGAAACAGCCTGGCAAGGCCCCGAACATTGACTAAGTGCTCAGGCAACACTTAACATGCACTGTTAGGTATATTATTAATAAGATGACCTAGAACTATAGGATGTCCGTACTTTCTCCTCTTGCCTTTAATAGGAGTTTTCTCACTGAGTTGAGTGGGAGCAGGATCGTTATCTCCTGAGGACTTTGACATTGCCAAGCAAGTGAGATGATACATGGCTATGGCAAGCTGCATGAAGATTCCATGTTAGGCAGTGCGGCTATTTGTTTGCTCTTTAGCTCCCCCTTGCCCACACAGACAGAATGACAGAGAGCCATGGATTCTGGGCTGTACTGCCAGTGCGAAGTTGCCTTACAGTCCATGAAGGATCCAGTAGGGGGATCCTCCAGGCGCACAGTGCTGGTGAAGTGGCTCCTATGTTACCCTGCCTTCCTGTGGTAGGTGTAGAAGGGGCAGCCAGCCTACTCCTGCAAACCGCTCATCCCTGGCTGCCATAACATCCCCTTGGAGCTGATGGCACCAGAGAGCAATTAAAGGAGGTGTGTTTTTTCTGACACACGCCTGCACATACACATTCTAGATGGCTGCAAGCACTAAGGCATGCAAGTAAGCTTGTAAGCTAGGATTTGGTGTTACCTGGTTTTTCCCTACATGTACAAGCCATTTACTGAATTCCTCAATGGCAGAAAGTGTCAGGGAATCCTTTGCACCCAGTGCTGCCTGATATGCAACCAGACTCTCTGTAAAATACATTTCAGCCGCCCCTAGAAATAAGCACAGTAATTATTACTGACCGACTGGACCCCTTTTAGAACAGGACATCTCAGCTCCAACCCAGGTAACAATCCCATACAAATAGTGGATTTTATTAGTAATTTAACTAGGTGGATATAAAAAAAACTGTATCTAGTTTCCCTAAATGCAGAGGGCTAAATTTTGACCCTACTTACATCCCAAGCAACCTCATTGAAGTCTGAAGTTATTTTAATAAGAAAAGGTTAAACAAAATAGTTTTAGTGCACATGAAAACCTACTAGACTGAAGTCTAATTTACCTACAGAACAGGCAAAGCACAGCAGTGTGTGTATGGGCTTCACCACACTGCCCTGCCAGTGGGTCTCAACCTTCCCTTGGAGAGACCACCTGTAAGGGTAACTCAGTTTCCATGGGCATTTGCTCCTGGGACTTTCTGCTGAGACTGCTCTCGAAGGTATTGAGTGGAATGGTAATGCTTGTGCTAGGGACATCTGTTCACTGGGGTCTGGACTCAGACCAGTAAACTCACTTTATGTAGTCTAAAGACCCATGAGTTTCCCATCTCTAGAATGGGGATAATGATGTAAAGGTCTTTGAGCTCTACTGATGAAAAGTACTATACAAAAGCTAGGTCTTTTGATTATTACCTAGCTATAGTAGCATATGAACTGCAAACCTAGATGAGAACTACAACTGTCTAAATGACCACTATCTCCTATAACAAACATTTCTGTTTTTTTTTAAACTAGGAAAAAAATGGCAAAAAAATTGGCTAATGCAGAGTTGAGGTTGCATGGTGATAGCTCATGCCCTTCCAGAACATTGAATTCAGCAGAACTCAAACTTCTGAAAACCAGGAAATATAGTTAAGGTAGACACTCATGTAACCTTAACTCTGCCCTCTGAGTGATGCCCCACAACACCTATACAAACACAGACTCCCACTCTGCCCCTTTACATAATGGGCAGGTGCTTCCCGCCCTCGCCCTACACTCAAACACTGAGCCTGCTCCCCTGACAAAATACCACACTTGTAAAATTGAACAGCCACTTCATAGCCTTTTACAACACCTTCACACTTGCACACAGGATACCAACTAAACCTGTACTTTCCCCTACCCATCATTACATCCACAGATTGCTGTCATAGCCCATCTCACTACTCACAATACCCATGGCAAGAAGACCCCAGTGCCCTGCTACTGACACAAACTACACAATTCTGTGTTGAAATGATGCAGACTGAAATTTCAAGGTACACACGTACCTCTTTCCATTGAGCTCTGCTGATGACAAACACTATATAAAAGCAAAGTCTTATACTACTGTGGCTAGGTAATACTTAAATCAACTGCAAATCTAGGTGAGAACGTAGGCAGGGACTCAGATACAGATCTCATGATATCACAAATACAGCTCTCCGAAGCTGCTCCAAAATATGCCTCCACCGTTCAAATACAACTACATTTAGCAGAAAGGGAATGCAGCTGGAGTGCATGCGGATAATTCCCAGTGGCTACTGCCAGCACAGTTAAGGTAAAATCTGGACCTGAATCAGGATTTGAATGTAGGTGCAAAGCAAAACCTACACACTTAAGGTAAATGCCAGTGCAACCTTAGCTTGGTATTTCCTGGTTTGAGTTTTGCTGACATTCTGGAAGGGCACCTGATAACCTTAATTCTGCATTAACGAAGTTTTTTGTCATTTAATAAAGCTCTACAGATGCACAGCAAATGTCCATTACTGCATTCCTTACATTCAAAATTCCCACTGAAGTCAATGGAAATGAATTATAATCAATGGCAACTCCCATTAAGGACAGCAGAAAAGGGTATTCACACTGAAAAAAAAAATCCAGCAATCCAGGGAATATTGAACACCTGAACTTCCAGGTGCTATTACCTAGAAAATAGTACTTCATCTTCTGCTACATGCAATGGTCCAGATTCTGCTTTGAGACACCTGTGCAACCTCCACTGGCTTCAGTGGGGCTTACATGGGTAAACTGTGGGCAGAACTTGTCCCACTGCAGGTGGAGTGAAGTGCCAGTTCCAGGCAATGATCCCACAAACTTCAAGTGTTGAATATTCCATAGGTCAGCTCATTTTTACTAGTGTGTATATTCCTAAATAGGCTGTGTACATTTTTAGAATCTTCTGGCTCATCTGCCTGTTATAGCGTTACATTAGGCCCTAGAAGGATCATAATTCTGGTACAGTAAACCTCTTCCTTACTCACCAACATGCTGCTGGTCTCCAGTTGCAGCATAAGCTTTGCCCAGCAACAAGCCCGTCTGAGCAGCTTCAACACTAAGTTGCTTGTACAGAGCCACGCAAATGGAATGAGCCTAACAAAGATGGAGATTATTTATGCTAAATAAACACTGCATACAAGAACAATAAATAGACTGTCTACAAAGACGGGTATTTTCATAGACAACACCACCTTTGTTGAGTTAGCCACAGGTGCAGAAACAAGGCAACACTCTGGAACAGGAAAATTTCATCAAACAAAGCAGTGTAACTCACAATATTTGAACCAGGACTCAGCATCTCTTTTCCTCAGATTGTGCCTCTCCCCCAAGGAGCAAATATTTAAATAAATAAATCTTTATTATTATTAGAGAGAAGTGGAAGCTTCCAACCCACCAGAAGTTAGAACTATTTGTACCCAGGGTTTTGCTTTGCACCTACATTAAAATTCTGATTCAGGTCCAGATTTAGATTTTAAACATACACAAGTTGGTGGTGTTTGAAGCTGGGTGTCTGGTTTGGATCTGTTTCTAATTTTTATCCTTTGGATCTGTAAAGGTGGGGGTGGTTTATTTAACCAGTGTTAAGTAGTTTAGCATGGTTTCAAAGCAAGCAGCCACTGTTTTGCCTTATGCAGCAGGCAGTGTAAGTCAAGTTCTTCAGTCTTCAGACCCCACAGAGTGTGAGGATCAAAATTCTGCAGAAAGTTGCCATGTGACAATGGTAAAGAATCACAGAAAGAGTCACTTTCTTCTAATTTCATAGAAGGAGCTTTATTAGAATAGGAGAAACTATATTATCCCTAGTTCTCTCTTTCTCAGGGCTTGTCTTCACTGCAGAGTTAATTTGAGTGTTGCCTCTAACTTGGGTACCGTCCATACATTAAAAACCCTTAACACCAGTGTAGTAGTGTTTTTAACTCAAATTGGCTGGCCCAATGGGGAATAGAGGCTATACCTCAAATTAGCACAACTTGTCAGCAGCTAACACAATCACTCTGTGCAGGTCCAGTGTTTATTGTTTTCCCCAGTGTGGCCATTCTCACTTGAGGTAGGCTAACTCAGAAGGAGTTAATTTTCATGTAGATAGAGAAATATGCCCCTCTGGCTGAAACCTTGAGAGCTAAGAGTTACCAGGTCCAGACACATGCACTGATCGTTGGAGCCTTAGGCGCATGGGATCCCAGTAATGAGTGAGTGCTGAGAGAATGCGGAATTGGTCAATGCTACGTTCGGCTGATGTGGCAACTCAGGGTGTCGGATGCCATCAGGTGGTCAAGGAACATCTACATAGAACGCATCACTGGACATCGGCAATACCAGAAGGGATGAGCTGGAGTGCCGATGAGAAGCGCAGTCAGAAAAGTAACAAATACTTTCCTTATGGAGTGTATTTTCTAAATGGACAACCAACCTAATTCTCAATTACTGAGGGACAATCTCCACTCATTGATATATTTTGCTTTCCACAACCAAATCTCTGTACAACTTTTCATGAGTGATGTACCCAAGTATTTGGATTCTAATATCTAAACTATATTGTTAAATCTATTCACCTAAATTTGGATTATTGCTGATTATGTACTCTATGTATCATATGACTTTTAAAAAACTAACTTTCTATTTGTGGTTTCAGAGTAGCAGCCGGGTTAGTCTATATCCGCAAAAAGAAAAGGAGTACTAGTGGCACCTAAGAGACTAACAAATTTAGTTGAGCATCCGATGAAGTAAGCTGTAGCTCACAAAAGCTTATGCTTAAATAAATTTGTTAGTCTCTAAGGTGCCACAAGTACTCCTTTCCTTTTTATATTTGTGGATATTCTAAACACTATACCCAGATGTACAGACACTCTTTTCCCAACCTATGTATTATGTAATTATTTTTAACATTAGCTTTAATAACATTTAGGTTAACTCTGCAGGGAAGACTCAGCCTCACTGTGGAGCTGAAGCTTGGGACTTTCCTCATGACTCCCTGGTACATATTTTATATACTCCTTCTCACAGGAACTGAGGCAGAGCAGCAGATGGCAGTGCAACACACAGCTGATTGCTGCTTGCAGCCAGGGTAACCTTAGACTAGCTGAACTACCTCGCTTGGGAAAAAGAGTAGTGGGAAAAAGTTGGATCTATCCAGAGTGACTGGGAACAAGGGTCCGTCAGGTGGAAAACATCTTTGGTGAATTAGCTCTAATTCAACTCTGGATGCAATTTTTAAACTGTGCTATGAGGATTTCTCAGAGGAACCATGTTCTCTTCTGTTCTGTTCAGGTTCTTATGCTGCTCCCATCATTGTCATGTCTGAGTGCTCTAACCCTGCTAACAATGTTTAGCACATATGATTAATGAGCAACATCTCTTATGAAGAATATCATTTAAAATACAGTTCTACTCAAAGTGACTTGGCAAAAATTGCCCCTTCTTATTCAGACCATGTGTCTGTGACTATTCAGAGTCACATCTGCTGACTTTAGTGACAAAATATTCCTTTCAGAGCCCACATAGCAATGGGAAACCAAGCTGGGTTCAAGTCACTGTGCATCATCACCAGAATTGTTTACTAAGCAGCAATTACAGGGCAAATCAGTGACATCTGTACAAACCCACTGACTGTTCTAAGGTTGAACAAGTGTCTCTGTGGACATGATTTCGCATGCAGCATCTTTATTACAGGTGCTGCCCCAGGAGATCCCAGGCTGGGTTCACAGAGCTGGCAGTTAGGGGAAAATCTTTTTTTAATTGTAAACTGAGCACAGTTTGATAAGAAAATAATTGAGACACAAACAGGACGCATGTATGGGAATTTTAGAGAGTCATTTTTTAGAGTAGAACTCTCTAAAGAAATTCCAAGAACAGTTTCTGTAACAATTTGAACATCACTAACTATATATGTTAGTAAATCTCTTTTAATAAGCACTCAAATTATTTGCTAATGTGGACAGGAATTTCATTAACAAGATTGGGGTAAAATTCACAATTGGGATAAGTGGGTATAACTCCACTGACGTTAATGAAATCTTGCCTGCTTATGTCAGCAATGAGTTTCCTAGTTGCCAATTGTAAGGGGAAAAGTGGCTATTATGGTTTCCTATACCGTGTTCACATCATTGGCTAAGTTTCCTGTTAGGGTTCTTCAGCAGATCCTTGCTAAAGTTAATATCAAACAAATTAGTTAACTTCAATCATAGCAACTAAGAGCTGTGATTTTTAGTGAGTCCTGCTGCTCTAAAAAGATTTATGAGATTTCTTACCTGTAATAAATACGCTATGGCTCTTCCATGGTTTTTCTTCAGTTGTTCACTCTGGGCAATTTTCTGATAAAGATTTATCAGTTCTGGAGCCGTATCGCCCTCAGTTAAAATTACTACATCAACAGCTTTTTCAAAATAACCCGCGGCAAAGTCAAACTTGTTTTGCTGCAAACACGTCCTGAAAGAAAGTGGTGAAAGTTAGGTTCTCTAGTAAAAAGACTATTGTCCATATCAGTGGATGCATGAGACAGGCTCAGAGGCCCTCATCCTGTTTTCCTTGCACACACAAAACTCCCAGGGAAATCTTTTACCCTTGTACTAATCCATTTTCTGTTACAAAAGAAATAGTAAGGTACCATTTACATAAAAGCCCAAGCACGTGCCCACACACATGGCATTCATTTTGTTTTTTGTGTTTACCTGCCCAATGCAATGACTAAATCTTTCTCAGATATTTTTAATCCCATGATCACTCTCCCATCCAGTTCTTGAAGTTCTTCCATGAGTCTCTCTGCCTTCCGCAGACTGAGATAGGATTCTTTGCCAGTGGAACAGTCAAGGAAAAACACCAAAAATACATGCTAGTAAACAAAGAAAACCATGTAGGTAGAAACTAACCGGAAAAGAACAAGTTGTGCAGGTGTTAGCTTCCAGAACTGTCTTTGCAATATAATCAATACCATTCTGAAGCATATTGTTTTGGATATCCTGACACTCACTTATAGGTAGCTTTGAGTGCGGATGGGAACTCTCAATTACAGGATGTAGTAAATTACATTATTCATAAAAATCCATTGCTGTCTCCACTTAGAAAGATCTGCAAATGTAGATGGTGTTCTCCAAAACATAGGGGCTGGCCATATTCCATCCTGAAGCATTTACAATTCAAGAGAGAATGAACAAGACAAGATGACAGGGTTTAGAGAGAGCTTGAATATGAAGGAAGGTGGGGAAGCACGAAATGGTTTAAAATTCTTTGCATTGACTTTTCATCTGGGCTTCATGTAGGATTTTTGGCTTGGTGAAGCCTTCCAGTGAAATTTCACCACTGTAGAAATCCTAATTTATATAGCTTTCTGGAACAAAGCTTCAAAGAGAAATAAAATTATCAGGAACTGAGCACAGCCCTAACATGTAACAACAAAATAAGATTGGTGGGTAAAAGTGTGTAGTGGATGTGCAGAACTGGGAGCCAGTTATCAGATTTTTTAAGGCCAGAATGGACCATTAAAAAAAAAAATCTAGTATGACCTCCTGTATAGCACTGGACACAGAATTTCATCCAGTTACTCCTATATTGATCCCAATAACTTGTGTTTGACTGAAACCTATCTTTCAGAAAGACATCCACTCTCAATCTGAAGACTTCAAGTGACAGAGAATCCACCACCTCTTGTGGTAGTTTGTTCCAATGGTTAATCACCCTGATGGTTAAAAATGTGCCATATTTCTAGTTCCAAGCTTGGCTCTGACATCAACCCCCTCTGTAGTCTCAAGAAAGTCATTTAACCTCTTTGGCCTTGATTTGCCCCCCTGAAATAAGAACACTTGCCCACCTGTCTCACAGGTATGTTCTACCACTTGATTAATTAGTTATTGTATGGAGCACTTGGGAGAGGAAAAACACTATATGATAAGTACTAATGATTATTATATATTTAATAAACATTCTGTATTAGGCATTTTAATAATTAAGTAGTATTGTCAGATGTAAGGATATTTGTTTTGTGCCAGATGTGCTACGCCCAAGGTATAGTAGATAGTCACAAGAGTTCCTAATATTTCTCTTTTGTCCTCTGGAGGCGTACGAATCCCTGTCAGCATGATACGTTTGGCTGATTCAGCATGCTCTATGGCCTGTGCAGGAAGACCTAGGAGAAGACAATGAATGAGCTTGCTAACAAAAACATCATCAGCAACTTCAAACTGAAAATAAGACCTGAACTATGAGATTCTCTGAAGAGATTCAGTTTAGACAAGGATGAAACTCTAGCTCTACTAAAGCCAAAAGGAAGCTGTGCCATTAACTTTATGAGGTCCAGGATTTCATACCAGATGTATAGGAAAACAATTAGGAGAATTTTAGGGGGGAAAATAATCTCTTAAAGATATTTAACAGATATAATCAATAGCCTTCAGAACAATTATGCAGATGACGATGTTACATGTAGGGAAAACAGGCAGATGAAGGGACCCAGCAGAGTCACAGATGGTACAACATTCCCCAGGTGAAACACCTTTTAAGAGAGTAAGCTTCTGTTTAATCCTTAGTCCTAATGCATCCCTCTTCCCACGCACCATACAATGAAGACAGGTATGTCCAAACCAGCACAGCCCCACCTTCTCTCCCCTTGGGATGGGTGCAGGACCTTCAGGCAGAAAACAACTGCCTGTTATATATAAAATTATGCAGCAGCCAGGAAAGCAAAGTAGTTTTGAGGATAGTATTTGCATATAGCAGTTTCCAGATTCCATTTCTGTGGGACTGTGGTTTATAAAGTGCCATATTCAAGTCTGGGAAAACACATCAATATACCCAAAAGCAAATCCTCAGCTGAGCTGGAAACAGTTGACCATAGTCCCATTTCAGGGATCTTTGCCACCAATTTTCTCTTTCCACATATCTTCTTTTTCACCACCAGCAAAGGAGAGTAACCAGGATAAAATAGATCCATTGCAAGATGGCTTTCCCTACTCCTTCACAGACTTTTCTTTTGACTACTTATCTCTATAGCGAGCACACATAGGCCCAGGTTTTTAAAGATATTTACATGTTGCTGTGCTCAGTGTGACATTGGCTCCTAAATCCCTTTTGAAAATTAGATCTAGGCTCCTAAATGAGTTAATCATTGCATTGCTGAGCTCAGCAATGCCTAAATACCTTTAAAAATCTGGGTCATAGTGCTTTATACAGGCAATGCATAGAAACATAGAAATAGAAGAATTCCTATCCTGGGTCAGACCAGTGGTTCATCTAGGACCATATCAGCTGCTTTAGAGAAAGATTAAAACTTCTAAAGTAAACAATTATGAATCAACCTGGACATAGGAGAAATTTCTTCCTAAACTCGATCAATTAGTGGCTGGCTTATGACTGTACAAAGATTATTTTAAAAGTTAACGGTAGTGTAATTGGGGACAGTCTCATTATCCATACAAATATCTAATCCTTTTTTTGATTCCCACTAAACTCTTGCCTTCTATTATATCGGGTGGCAATGAGTTCCACAGCTTAATTATGTTACGTAAAAAGTGTTTTCTTGCCTCAGTTTAAATTTTGTTGCTTTTCAATTTCATTAAATGTCCCCTAGTTTTGGTTTTCGGAGAAGGAACTACTTCTATTTCTATTATCTCCTTTTTCAGATGGGGTGACCAGTACTGAACACAGTATTCCAGGTGAAGGCATATAATTGATTTATATAGTATTGGAATTATGGATTTATAGATTTTTAAAGCCAGAAGGGACCATCATGATAATCTAGTTTGACCTCCTACACAACTCAGACCAAGGAATCTCACCCAATATTTCTTTATCAAGTCTATAACTCCTGTTTGAGCTATAGCATATTTTTAGCTATAATCAGCATTACAATATTTTTAGTATTGTTTTGTATGCCATTCTTAATACATTTTGTTTCCTTTTTTGACAAGCATTGCACATTGAACAGAGGCTTCAGTGGACTATCCACATTTATTTACTACTTTAATTTACACTGTCTTCCGTCTCCCTGGCATGAGTTACATCCCTTAGACACTGATAAAGAGGATGTAAGCAAATACATAAGGGGATCTGTCTGAGAGCAAGGATATCTAATTTTCTGAAATTGTCCTAGGACATTTAGGATTCTGTGATTATGAAACTCAAAGAATTTACTCAGTTTTGATACAAGCACCATTTCTTGTATTTTTTAACATCAATAGCACTCAGAGCATATTAATGCTGACTGTCCTTTAGAGATCTGTGCCCAGGGAATACACTGGTTCATTTTTTAATTCAAACTAAAGGTAGATGGCAGCATTTCTCCAGTTTGCAAATTTCTATAGGTCACTGCAATTATTCTCTCACTCTTAACATATATGTTAGCATAGTTCCATTCCCCAGGCAGAAATATCTTGATGCAATCCAGGAATGCATATGAAACCAGGAAAGCACTGGCTGAAATTTGCTGAGGTCTTCCAGGAGCTAGATTTTTTAATCTGATATGCATAAAAAAAAGTTGAAAACTTGTTTTATAAATCGAACATTTTTTGTGAGTAACAGAGTTAGTAGAAAAATAAGTTGAAGTACACAATCATTTAATCCATAAAATTCCTATTGGAATTTAGGCTTGCAACTCAATGAGCATTATGGAGTATGAACATTTTCTCTTATTTCATTGTTAACTTTGGAAGGTGAAATTATGAAATGAGGAATGTAGCTCCACTTCCATTTTTAAAATGATTTTGTGTCCCTGTTTTTCTATTCCCCTTTATTTGTAATCATTGCTATTGCCAGCTCATGGAGTAGACAAGACGACACAACATACGTACACAACATGATTTCAGTTCTTCTTCTGGAAGGTGCCTATCATTATGATATTTCCTACCAAAGAGCTGAAGTTAACTCTCAAACCTTGTTTTGAAACTCAGTGTCCGTCCTACTAATACAGTAGGCTTCCATCCTACTAATAACGAAGCTTTCAGTTGATTCTGAGGAACCATCTTCAAAGCCACATGCACATCCCTACTTAGTGGCCACCGTCCAGTCTATACTCCATGCCTTGATGCTGAATGTGCTAAACTACTCAGTGCAAATCCTCTGGTGATCCATATATTGCTGATCACCTCATTAAGTTAATAGATGCTACTGGATGGGCACAATGGGAAAGGACACCTCAGAATCTAGATGCCCCACTCAAGCCGGAAGTGCTGGAATTTGATTTGTTGTCTTGGTGGAGCTCAGCAACCACCAACCCAAAACTGCCGACCAGTCATGCCAAATCAAGCTGCCAGCCATCTGCTGAATGTGTCAAAGGCCCCAAATTAGACGCATGTAAGACAACAAGTCCATGACAAATGGTGTCAGTTCCATCAGAGAAACAACACTTGGCAACACAGAGTTACTCACAGCCATCAGGTTCAACAATATTCTGAGTAACATTAGGAACAGCTCTGCTGCTGACTATAACAACATATCGCCAGAGTTCTTGAAGTACCTTGGGACTCAGGCTCACCAGTGGTTGGTGCAGTTCTTCACATGAGAGGTCAGTGAAAAGCAACTTCTGAAGACATGGCCAACGTCAGAAGTTGTTGCTCTCCTGAAACTGGGGAAGAGCCACATAATGTTGCAAGCTATTGACTAATATCTCTGTTGTCTGTGCCATTCAAGGTCCTGGAGCATCTCATTCTTCAGCGGATCTTCCCAGAAATGGAGTCAATCAGCGTTAAGCAAGCAGGCTTTCGGAGAGGTCAGAGCACCTGCAATAAAGTGCTCGCTTTGAAAAAATTAATTGAAAACAGTTTTCAGAAAAACCTGAAGACGGGAGCCATATTGCTGGACCAGCATATCACACAGTCTGGCACATGGGACTTTTAATCAAATTATCACGAGCACTCCCAGCATGGGTAGTCAATGTCATTGACCTTGTCCTCTGCAACAGATGTTTCTGAGTGTACATAGGAGTCAGAGTTATTGCGTGGAAAAGACAAACCAATGGTCTGTCCCAAGGCTCTGTGCTGGTACCGATGCTTTTCAACCTGTACATAAATGACCTTACATACACCCAGTCCTGCAGTTTCATATACACAGATGACATTTGCTAAGGCATCCAAGCATCATTCCAAGAACTTGAAGACACCCTACATGCTGATTTGATTAAGATGGCTGAATACTGTAGTCAGTGGCATTTACAATAAGTGTGACCAAGACAGTTTCCAGTGTGTTCCATCTTTACGAAACCAGAGCAGACCTAGAACTGAATCTTGCTCTCAATGGACATTGCTTGAAACACAGATTCCCACCCAGTCTATCTCGGAGTAACCCTAGATAGATCGTGCATGTATGTTAACCACCTGAGGAAAACTGAGGCCAAGGTGAAGAATTCGAAACAAATTGGCCAGCACTTCATGGGGAATAAATGCTCAAACTCTCCAATCATCAGTTTAGCCCTCTGTTAATCGGCAGCAGAATAATGTGCTCCGGTCTGGGTCCATTCATCTCACATCAAGTTGGTTTACACATAACTACACTGAACCCTCCACATTGAAACTGGGACGATTCGACCCACACCACTTCCAGGCTTCCTATGTTAAGCAGCATCACTCCTCCACACATCCATCATGAGGATACTACAGCCAGAATGACTGAGAAGATCTGGGCAAGCCTGAGCCTGCCACTATACATAGAACTTTTTGACTACCCTCGCTTGTCGCTGAGGCACCCATTGTGGGCCGCTTGCCCTGTCCAGATTTCTCTGTGACATTGATATGAGGTGAAGAATGAAGAATGACATCAGAAACGTCTCTTATAATTGACCAGATCATGTGTGTACCTGGCTTTGATTTGCCAAACTGCTCAGGGGCCCTTCTGAATCGATTTTGAATGGGCTAGGGTCCATGTGCAGACAGCCTTCACTCCACAGGCAGCTGTGGTCAAAGACAGCCAACGTCACACATCACGGACGACTGCCCTCTGACCAGATTTGATGGTGGACTGAGGGCTCTGCGCTTCGCTGATGAAGCTGCCGCAAATTGGGTTGGCAAGCTCTGCCATCCATAAAGAAGTCCTGATTTATGCAATGAGTATGCTATTCCCAACTATAAGACATAGATATGAATGGACAGCTCTCTTACTAACCACCAATCCTCAGCCAAATTCTGCTCTCACATTTATACTTGTGAAACCACTGACTCAGCTTTGGCTCCAATAAACTTACATCAGGGATGAATTTAGCTCACTGATCTCTAGTATTGGGGAAAAAATGAACTATTATGCACTCTGAGGTGAAAATGTGCATGGACCCTTCTACTAATACTAGAATTCTGCTTCTGACACCATCATTGCCCCTGTCTAGTAGTAGCAGATGTCGCGGGCCTTGCAGGTCAGCTTCGCACTGAAGGAGAAATCAGTGATGCATATTCTGGGTATCTCCTAGATATAACTTGCTTTATTACACATATACACTAGTCCTGGAAAAGAGAACGCTACAAACAGCACCCAGGCAATCTCTTCTTCCAGAAGACTCAGACAGGCGTTCCCAGGACGTTACTTTGTCTCCAGAATTTTTTCCAAATATAGAAAATAAAGCAGACTGCAAACTCTTATCTGCCAGAGATTCTCTCCAAGGCCAACTTCATAACAAAAGTAACACCATCACAACATTTCTTCATAAAGTAAAAACTTGCTTACACGGTAAAAAGAACTTGTAAGATTCTGTGTAATATCACCATCCGGTGAATCCTACCATAACATGTGCTTTCATTATTAATGGAGCAGTCCTGCAGACACACATGCATGTAAGTAACTTTACTCATCCAGTAGTCCCATTATGGGACAGGCATAAATATTTGCAGGATCAAAGTAGTGAAGCCAGTTTCACTATCTTCCAAGTTTTTTATGTGGGACAATTGAAATTAGATTTTTACCTTGAAGTATTAAATAGCTGTGAGCCAGGTTGGCAAATGCTTGTGCCAGTTGCCAGTGACCGTCTCCATAGATAATTCTAGTAAAAGCCACACATCTAATAAGTTCCCTGTTGGCTTTATATACCTGAAGAACAAAATAGAGTAGAAATTATTTTTGTGTAAGCATCCTGCCCCCAGAGTTTTCTCCAAGCGAGGTGGGGAAGTGTCTACACATTGGTTAGAATAAAACCATGTGTTCTCTGTGCATTTGTTACTAGAATATCACAGCTCTGAATCAGTCTGTTTTATAATTGTAGGGTCAGATTTGCCCCCATCTCCAGAGCATTAACAGGTGAGGGAGAATTTCCCCAGCATAGGGTTGAAATAAGTAGCCCTGCGTTGCCCACATTAGGAGGAAAGGTCAGAAGGGACCATTATGATCGTCTAGTCTGACCTCCTGCACAACGCAGGCCACAGAATCTCACCCACCCACTCCTGTAACAAACTTCTAACCAATGTCTGAACTACTGAAGTCCTGAAATCATGGTTTAAAGACTTCAGGGTGCAGGGAATCCTCCAGCAAGTGACCTGTGCCCCACATTGCAAAGGAAGGCGAAAAACCCCAGCGTCTCTGCCAATCTGCCCTGGAGGAAAATTCCTTCCCGACCCCAAATATGGCGATCAGCTAAACCCTGAGCATGTGGGCAAGGCTCACCAGCCAGACACCCAGGAAACAGTTCTCTGTAGTAACTCAGATCCCACCCCATCTAACATCCCATCAGAGGCCATTGGGCATATTTACTCCTAATAGTCAAATTAATTGCCACAATTAGGCTATCCCATCATACCATCCCCATCCATAAACTTATCAAGCTTAGTCTTGAAGCCAGATATGTCTTTTGCCCCCACTGCTCCCCTTGGAAGGCTGTTTCAGAACTTCACTCCTCTGATGGTTAGAAACCTTCATCTAATTTCAAGTCTAAACTTCCTGATAGCCAGTTTTTATCCGTTTGTTCTTGTGTCCACGTTGGTACTGAGCTTAAATAATTCCTCTCCCTCCCTGGTATTTATCCCTCTGATATATTTATAGAGAGCAATCATATCTCCCCTCAGCCTTCTTTTGGTTAGGCTAAACAAGCCAAGTTCTTTGAGTCTCCTTTCATAAGACAGGTTTTCCGTTCCTTCGATCATCTTAGTAGCTCTTCTCTGTACCTGTTCCAGTTTGAATTAATCATTCTTAAACATGGGAGACCAGAACTGCACACAGTATTCCAGATGAGGTCTCACCAGTGCCTTGTATAATGGTACTAACACCTCCTTATCTCTACTGGAAATACCTCGCCTGATGCATCCCAAGACCGCATTAGCTTTTTTCACGGCCACATCACATTGGCGGCTCAGTCATCCTGTGACCAACCAATACTCCGAGGTCCTTCTCCTCCTCTGTTACTTCCAACTGAGTCCCCAGCTTATAACAAAAATTCTTGTTATTAATCCCTAAATGCATGACCTTGCACTTTTCACTATTAGATTTCATCCTATTACTATTACTCCAGTTTACAAGGTCATCCAGATCTTCCTGTAGGATATCCCGGTCCTTCTCTGTATTGGCAATACCTCACAGCTTTGTGTCATCCGCAAACTTTACTAGCACATTCCCGCTTTTTGTGCCAAGGTCAGTAATAAAAAGATTAAATAAAATTGGTACCAAAACCAATCCCTGAGGAACTCCACTAGTCTCCCCTTTAACCAGTTCCTTATCCACCTTTCAATTTTCATATTGATCCCCATCTTTTCCAATTTAACTAATAATTCCCCTTGTGGAACCATATCAAACGCCTTACTGAAGTCGAGGTAAATTAGATCCACTGCGTTTCCTTTGTCTAAAAAATCTGTTATCTTCTCAAAGAAGGAGATCAGGTTGGTTTGTCATAATCTACCTTTTGTAAAACCATGTTGTATTTTGTCCCAATTACCATTGACCTCAATGTCCTTAACTACTTTCTCCTTCAAAAATTTTCCAAGACCTTGCATACAACAGATGTCAAACTAACAGGCCTGTAGTTACCTGGATCACTTTTTTTACCTTTCTTAAAAATAGGAACTATGTTAGCAATTCTCCAGTCATATGGTACAACCCCTGAGTTTACAGATTGATTAAAAATTCTTGCTAATGGGCTTGCAATTTCATGTGCCAGTTCCTTTAATATTCTTGGATGAAGATTATCTGGGCTCCCCAATTTAGTCCCATTAAGCTTTTCGAGTTTGGCTTCTACCTTGGATGTGGTAATATCTACCTCCATATCCTCATTCCCATTTGTCATCCTGCCATTATCCCTAAGCTTCTCATTAGCTTCATTAAAGACTGAGGCAAAGTATTTGTTTAGATATTGGGCGATGCCTAGATTATCCTTAACCTCTACTCCATCCTCAGTATTTAGCGGTCCCACTTCTTTCTTTGTTTTCTAATTTATATGGCTATAGAACCTTTTACTATGGGTTTTAATTCCCTTTGCAAGGTCCAACTCTACATGGCTTTTGGCCTTTCTCACTTTATCCCTACATGTTCTGATCTCAATAAGGTAGCTTTCCTTGCTGATCCCACCCATCTTCCACTCCTTGTAGGTTTTCTGCTCTTTCTTAATCACGTCTCTGAGATGCTTGCTCATCCAACTTGGTCTACAATTCCTGCCTATGAATTTTTTCCCCTTTCTTGGGATGCAGGCTTCTGATAGTTTTTGCAACTTTGACTTGAAGTAATTCCAGGCCTCTCCACCTTTAGATTCACAAGTTCTTCAGTCCAATCCACTTCCCTAACTAATTTCCTTAATTTTTTTAAAGTTAGTCACAGATCTATTTTAATTTATCCTTCCATTTAGTTTGAACTGAATTTGCTCATGATCACTCAAATCAAGGTTGTCCCCTACAACCATTTCTTCTACAAGGTCTTCACTATTCACCAAAACCAAATCTAAAATGGCATCCCTTCTTGTTAGTTCAGCAACTGCTTGGTGAAGGAATCCATCAGCTATCGTATCCAGGAAAATCTGAGCCCTATTGTTATTATTAGCACTTGTCCTCCAGTATATATCTTGGAAGTTAAAGTCTCCCATGATCACACAATTCCCATTAGTATTTACTTCATTAAAAACATTAAAGAGGTCTCTATCCATATCCAAATCAGACCCCGCTGGTCTATAGCGCACCCCAAGCACTATCCCAGGGGAGGCTCTAGTAGCTTTCTTCCCCAATGTGATTTTTGCCCAGACAGACTGTGTCTTATCCATTCCATCACTTCTTATTTCTTTACAGTCTACCTCATCATTGATATACAATGCTACTCCACCACCTTTGCCTTTATTTCTGTCTTTCCTAAACAGCACATACCTTTCAATACCTGTACTCCAGTCATGACTACTATTCCACCATGTTTCTGTTATCCCTATAATATCTGGTTTCATGTCCTGCACCAGTAACTCTAGTTCCTCCATTTTGTTACCTAGGCTCCTCGCACTGATGTACAAACATCTTAATTTTTGCTGTTTGGCTTCACTCACATTCTTTACCCTATTAGGCACAGACATTCTACCACCAGTATCACCTATTAGACTGGTATCTACACTACCCTTCCTCCTTATCTCCATTCTCCTACCCATGGCTGTATCCTTTCTTACTTTGTTTTCTTCCCTCTCAATGTTAAAATCCGGGGTGGAGATTACCTGGACATCTCCCAACCACCTCCCCCAAATTCCTAATTTAAAGCTCTCTTAAATCAGTTGTGCCAGCCTCCATCCTAGAAGTCTATTTCCCTCCCTATTCAGGTGAAGTCCATCCCGAGAGAACAGTCCTCTGTCCATGAATGCCTCCCAGTGGCCATACATCCCAAAGCCCTCCTTATAGCACCACTGCCTGAGCCATCTGTTGATCATCATAATCTTGTCACACCTTTGTTGCCCTTCTCTAGGAACAGGTAGAATCCCACTGAAGATCATTTGAGCCTCGATTTCCTTAAGTGTCTTCCCCAGCCTGTCATAGTCTCCCTTGATACGTTCCAGCGAGAATCTAGTTGTATCATTTGTTCCCACATGAAGGACAATCAGTGGATTCTTTCCCGCTCCCATTAGGATCCTCTTCAGCCTCAGGTTCACATCCCGTATCTTAGCACCCAGCAGTCAGCACACCCTTCTGTTCTTTGGATCAGCTCTTGTTACAGGCCTGTCTATTCTTCTCAGTAAGGAGTCCCCAATCATGTAGATCTGCCTTTTCCTGGTGAAGGTGCGATTCTCCGGTCTATCCCGTTCCCTCTGGCTGCAAGTCCTCTCGATTCCTATTCTCTCTTGCAATCCTCTGCAACCCATCCTGTATCCTGCTGGGGCTCATATTTAGTGTTATCTCCAATGACTTCTCCTCTTCCTATAGGACTAGCTGCTCTTCTCTTCTTCCTTGCCCTCTCACCTTCAGTGACCACCTGCTGTGCCCCTTCTTCATTTTCCAACTCTGCAAACCTGTTCCTGAGCTCTATTTCTCCTTCACTAGCCCGTCTTTTCTTCTGCCTGGTTCTCTTAGTCACATGCTTCCACTGTCCACTTTCCTCACCCAGCAGTCTCCCCTCAGAGTTCTTTGGTCCTGCTTCCATCTGCAAGCCTGAGTTTTTCCCTTGAGCCTCCTCATGCCTTTGCTCCATATCTGTTCAAACCCCCTTCTAAACTCAACCAGAGTTTCCTCCTGCATCTCCAATCCTCGGATCTTTTCTTCCATCAGCTCTATCAGATGGCACTTCATGCAGACAAAACTCTTTTCAGGTACCCCCTCCAAGATCATGTACATGCCGCAGCTTCTATATCCAGTCATCTTCACTGTGTCTTCAACTGCTTGGGTCGCTATCACTGCTGCCCCTGTATGTCATAGCCTTCCCATCTCAGTCCTGTTAGTCCGGGAAACACAAACCAAACCAAAACACCACCATCCACAGCAAAACAAACCCCCAACGAGTACCACAACACTGCCAGAACACCACGCACTCCCTTCACTAGCCTGTCTGTTCCTCTGCCTGGTTCTCCTAGTCTTCACCTCAAACTCCCCTTGCAAACTCCCACTCAAACTCCCCTCTTTACAGCTCTGTTTGCTGGCTCCTGTGCCGCTGCCTGAGTGGTTAGCTACCTTTATAGGACCTCTAATCAAGAAGCCCCACCCCCAATCAGGGCTCAGCTTCTCTCCCAGTACACTGCCCCTACCAGCCTCTACAAATGCCTTCTCCTCCAACAGAACTCCCACTCACAGTGAGAAAGAGCGAGTAAAGGGATTCCTTTTATTGGAAACAGGCTGGTGGTGGTGGTCTCGGCATAAGGAATGGGCATGTGGAGGAGCTGCAATGAGAGGGAGCCGATGAGGAGATCTTTGCACAGGCAAAGGTGGTGGGAAGGAGCCTCAGTAGCAGGCTAAAAAGATTTTTCAAGATTGCAAACACCATGCGACTATTAATATCCAGGGTTGTTGAGAGTTATCAGAAACATCATGATTGATGACGAACATCCCACCACTGCTATTATTCGGCTCAACATCTATATTTGGGTTCCCAAAAATGCTTGCTAATTCTTTGAATCTTTCCTGCTAGGAACTGTATGACTTGGCTGCTTCCTACAACAGAAATTCCCTACTTGGGAAAAAGATGATCGAAACATCAGCTTTACTGCAATTAAAATAAAGTAATGCAACAGCTGAACAGCAAACCTACTACCCCTTTGTATGGGTCATTTAAAAATTATGCAGTGGGACCTTGTGATCTGTTAAACGTGGCCTTGAGATACTTCACTTCCTACAGAAGAAATAACTTCACTGTGGGCTGCATGACACAAGAGAACCTCTGACCTCATGGTTATTGGCTTGAGTCAGCCTAAACTGACAGTCACCCAAAATCACTACCCTCCCCTGACTTATAGGTAGCCTATGTGAAATCAAGGAGTCATTCAATCCACTTCCTACCAGACAGAGTGCCTATTGTGGTAGTACAGTCACAGTTTGCCACTCGTGCTACTAGTTTGTGCAGTCTTGACCAAGAGCCGAAGACTAACCTTAACTATTGTTATCCTTCCCTCATAGTCAGGGCTGTAACACACAAGGAAGCTGGAACTACTGCTTCCAGTCACCTGTTATGTTATTTATTATTTGTATTACAGTAGCACCTAAGCCTGAAATCAATCAGCGTTGGGTGCCTAAGTACAGTACCTTTGAGGATCTAGACTTAGAGACTGCAACTGATGCCAAGGCTGCATTGTGCTATGTACTGAACACACATGAGATAATCGCTACCCAAAGAGTTTACAATCTAAATAGACAAGACAGACAAAGGCAGTCTTATTATTCCCACTTCACTGACAGGGAACTGAGATTAAGTGAGATGAAGTGACTTTCCCAAGGCCACAAAGAGTTTGTGGCAGTGTTTGGAATTGACCCCAGATCTCGAGTCCCAGTCTTGTGCATTAACCACATGAGGCCAGCTATCCTTTTACACCGATAAATCATTATAGAATTTCAGTTCTCAGTACTATCAATCTGACACTTTTCCAAGTAACCTCACTGCTTCCACTCTCACACTGTTGGTGATAATGCTGAGGAGTTTCAAACAGAAATGAATAAACAGAGGATTTTTAAAAAGCAACATAAGCAAAAGGGCCAGGTCCAATTCCTGTTACCTCTTTTTCTTTAATGAACTTTTCTGCCATCTTCTGTGCTTGTTCTAATTTCTCATATGGTGCTGGAGCACAGTCAATAGGCAGTGCCTTTTCCCTCATTTTCTTTTCTTCTCCTTCACTATCTCTTGCTGTGCTCTCATTGTTTGTCTCATCCAGATGTTCAGAGACAGTGGTGCTGATTTCCTGGGACCTGATCATAATATATTATAAGGTTGTATTACTGATGATGTTTATTTCAGATTCATCTGTTAGTTGTGACACTGCATTTAAACATAAAACTGAGAATAATGCTTAAAAATATAACCATAACAGCAGTGTTACCTTTACCAATTAGGCTACAGCCTATAACCTGGCTATAAGATTTTTTTTTTTAAACACTTTTCTGTCTGATGGGAGATTATTTTTATTTACAAAACCCTTCTTTTCCCTCTTGGAAAAGAGCTTTACAATAAATTTACAAGAAAACCCATATAGAATGATCAATATGATAAAAGCTCCCTCTTAACTTATAACCCAATAAAACAAAGAGAATGGTTACTACAGTGGGGAAGGGGGGAAAGGTGAAGACTTATAGATAAGGGGCAGACAGTAAAATAAAGATCACCCTTTAAAAAGAAAAGTTTAATAACTTACAAGTGAGAGTCCACAGCACTATGGCTTGAATCTGTAGGGATATATATCGGGCTATCTTGCAACATCTTCTTACCAAGAAATACTATGGAGGTCCGAAATGACTATGCCTAAAACTGTTCAGAAGTAACATGAATGATAAATGTATTTTTTCAAAAAATAAACTGGAACAGAACATCCAATGACCAGTTAACCTATCTCTCTCAGAGTTATCAATGTGCTGATCAAAACTGTCTCACTGTTACCTCATACTTCCTCTAGTGGTAGTATCCATCTGTTCTCTCATCTCTTCATTATATGTTTGCACAGTGCTTAGCACAGTGGAGCCCTGGTTCTACTGCGATGCAAATAAAGCATAAATAATATTTTTATTTGTATTGCAGTAGTACCTCATCACTCACTGTGCTAGGTGCTGGACAAACAGAACAAGACGACAGGCCCCCTGGCCACAAAGAGCTTCCAACCTAAGTATAAGATGAGCTATGTCTATTTAATAATAATACTGTATCATCTTAGTTCAGAGGAGAGATTATGCATTACAATGAGAATACCCATCAGAAAGTAAAATTAAGAAAAACAACCCCAAATGCTAGAATTTCCAAAGTGTACACACAGTCTATCTAGAAGTGTTTAATTTGCTGACAAGTGATATTTAACTAAATCAAAATTGAATTGAATAGTTCATTTCTGAGTTGATATTCTGGGCCATCCAGGGCTGAGTACACAGTTGACCCTCAACAGTCATACAGAACACTGGAATTTCTTTATATCCTTGTCATCTGGGTGTTGTCTCTCACCTGAACTCTACAGCGGTTAGGTTAAGTCTGAAAACATTTGTAAAGGGCTGCCTGGAGCAGATCTTTACAATTTCCTGGGGTGCATTTGGACCTACAAAGGCCTTTGCTACAGATAGGAGTGAGGAAGAACAAGTGAAAAGTTGTTTTTTGAGTTACCAGCTTCACCTCCAATCCCAGAAGAGGAAGTCAGGGTTGGGTAGCACATTTCCTAGCCCCCTGGTCACAGGCTGATAGAGGGGCTAATTATGGTCCAAGTGAAGAGTCTCCTAGTCCTCCGTTGATGCCAGGCGCAGAGATTACAGTGGCTTGCGAGTTGCCAAGCCAGCACAGTGATGCCGGGTATGGCGTGGGCCCCCAAAATGATATAACTGTCAGTGTAGCACAGTGATTTATTTGTGGGGATTGAGGGAGGAACCAAGGGAATTCAACAAACACACAGGGACTTAAGTTGAGCCATTTTGCACTCACATCTCTGCCGCTGCCCTGAATTACAGGCGCTCCCTGGCTCTCAGGGTCCAACCACTTCCCAACGCCGCAGTCTATCCCCCCACCTCTGTATTTTACATTCTGATACGCCAGTCACCTCAGCCCAGAGAACGGGGGGGTCTGAAGGGGGCTTCCTGCTCCCACCCCCCAGCCAGGGGTGTAATCAATAGTCACTGCTCTCACGCTGTAAGCGGAGACAGCTCGTGGAGCACAGCAGAGCAGCAGAAGGTAGAAATCCAGGGCGGTACCTGCTCACTGCACTGGGGATGACGGCCAAGAAGAGCTGTCCCACAACGGAGCAAGGCCTGGGCGCTGCTCTCAGCTGACAGGCTGGTTTGGTCTGCTGCTTCCTCCAGGAAAGGCTCAGTCAGTCCCAGGCAGGTTCTTTTAGTTACATTTCCAATAAGTAAATGAACAGGCTCCTTCCCCAGCTCCTGTACCCTGGGGAGGCCACAACAGAGGCTTTTCTGACAGGCCCCACCCCCACGCGGTTGCCTTGGTGACAGAACACAGGCCCCAGGCTGTAGCCTTGGTGACCGTTCGCATTCCCAGCTCAGAGCAAGTTTTACCAGAATCAAGGGCCCAGCGCCATTCCTGGCTCACCAGCCCTCTCCACTCCTTGGCTGGGTAAAAACAGACTGCGTGGCTCACGCACATGGTCACGGATGGGCTGTCCGTTGTGTGTTTGCCTGATTAAAGATTATAGTGTGGCCTGTTTTGGGGCTGTGCGCTGAGCCACGGGGCCTGCTGGGCTAGGCCGAGAGCTTACTAAGGGGGCTCTAGCCTGCTATCCTTTGATTCCCTAACCCACATTAGCAGCCTTTGACAGGGGGTGGGGCTAACTCAGGGAGAACAAGAGTTTAAAAAGTCAGCTCCTAAAGCACCAGATTTCAGAGGAACAGCCGTGTTAGTCTGTATTCACAAAAAGAAAAGGAGTACTTGTGGCACCTTAGAGACTAACCAATTTATTTGAGCATGAGCTTTCGTGAGCTACAGCTCACTTCATCAGATGCATACCGTGGAAACTGCAGCAGACTTTATATACACACAGAGAATATGAAACAATACCTCCTCCCACCCCACTGTCCTGCTGGTAATAGCTTATCTAAAGTGATCAACAGGTGGGCCATTTCCAGCACAAATCCAGGTTTTCTCACCCTCCACCCCCCCACACAAATTCACTCTCCTGCTGGTGCTAGCCCATCCAAAGTGTGTATATAAAGTCTGCTGCAGTTTCCACGGTATACATCTGATGAAGTGAGCTGTAGCTCACGAAAGCTCATGCTCAAATAAATTGGTTAGTCTCTAAGGTGCCACAAGTACTCCTTTTCTTAAAGCACCAGAGGAGCTAGCAAACGGGGAGGCGCGTGAAGGAATGTGAAAGGCAGATAGACTTAACACACATACTGTAAACTTCACCCCTTGACCCATGCAAAAAGCCCTGCAAGAGTAAAAAGAGAATGCAGGCAGAAGTCCAGCAGCAGATTGGGGGCTATCCAGTTTATTGCACCGAATGCAGCATGTACAATTACCTGCCTTGTGGGCAAATGGCATATGTGTGCATTCGGTGCAAGCAGCTCCTGGCCCTCAGAGACATAGTATGGGCTCTTGAGACCAGAGTGGCCGAACTGAGGGACACAGTACAGAGATCCCACCCCCAGTCTGACAGCCTTTGTGCTGTTGAGGAGGATGAAAGTCTCAGACGAGGAAACAATCTTATAGTTGGGACCTTCCTTCCAAATGATGTTATAGCATCCTCTCAAACAGCATGTTCCTCCTGGGGAAAGAAACTCAGTTATTAGGAAGAGCCAGGTAATAGTAATGGGGAATTCAATTACTGAAAATAGTTGGGTTTGCGAAGACTGGAGGAACAGCATGTTAAATTGCCTGCAGGGAGCAAAGGTTGCAGACCTCACGAGACATTGAAACAGATTTATCTGCCGTGCTGGGGAGAAGCCAGTGGTTTTGGTACATGCAGATACCAGTGACATAGCAAATGGTAGGAGAAATGTCCTAGAGGCCAAATTTAAGCTGCAAGGTAAGGGGTTAAAGTTCAGGACCTTCAGGGTTGCATTCTCTGAAATGCTTCCAGTTCAATATCCAGGGCCAGAAAGACAGGAAGAAGTGCAGGATCTCAATATGTGGATGAGACAAAGGAGGAGGGTTTTAGGTTTATTAATAACTGGGGAACCTTTTGAGAAAGGAGGAGCTCCATTTAAACCAAAATGGACACAGACTGCTGGCATGGAAAATTAAAAAGGTTGTAGAGGATATTTTAAACTAAGGGCTGGGTAAAGGTGACAGATGGAGAGGAGCACATGGTTCAGGAGGAGACATACCTTATGGATGAATTTATTAAAGGAGAAACTATATCCAAGTAAACAGAATAGGAAAGAAGTTGGTAAAGTACAGGTAGGAGCTAGTGGAGGACAGTCAAATTAAAAGAGTCTCGTTTAAACATAACACATGGAGGCAAGCAACTGAATATTGACAAAATGTACAAATGCTTATATATGAATGCTAGAAGTCTATGTTAAGATTGGTGAACTAGAGTGCCTGGCATTAAATGAGGATATTGATATAATAGGCATTGTGGAAACTTGGTAGAATAAGGAGGGCGGGGGGGAAATCAGTGGAATACGGTAATACCAAAATACAAAATATTTAGGAATGAGAGAGTAGGTCGTGTTGGTGGTGGAGTGGCACTGTATGTGAAAGCAAGCATAGAGTCAATCATCATAAAATTTTAAATGAATCAAACTGTACCATAAAGTCTCTATGGATAAAAATTCCAAGCTTGAATAATAAGAATATAGCAGCAGGAATATACAACTGACCACATGCCCAAGATGGTGATGGTGACCATGAAATGCTCTGGGAGGTGACAGAGGCTACAAAAGGCAGAACACCCAGTAACAATGGGGGATTTAAAATATCTTCATATTGACTGGGTATATATGTCATCTCAGGAAGGAATGCCACCATAGCTAAACAGCACCATAAATGAGGCAGTTAGAGGCAAAAAGACATCCTTTAAAAATTGAAAGTAAAATGAGAAAAATAGTAAGGAGCATAAACTCTCGAAAAAGTATAATTGAGCAGGCAAAAAAAGAATTAACAGTAACTACCAAAGATACAAAAACCTAACAATTTAAAAAAAAATCATAAGCAGGAAGGCTGCCAAACAATCAAGTGGGGCCACTGGATGATCGAGGTGCTAAAGGAACGCTCAAGGAAGACAAGGCTGTTGCAGACAAGCTAAAAGAATTCTTTGCAATAGTCTTCACTGCAGAGGATGTGAAGGAGATTCCCCACTTAAGCCATCCTTTTTAGGTGACAGATCTGAGGAAGTGTCCCAGATTGAGGTGTCACTAGGAGAGATGTTGGAACAAATTGATAAATTATACAGTAACAGTAAAAAAATCACCAGACCAGATGGCATTCACCCAAGAGTTCTGAAGGAACTCAGATATGAAATTGCAGGACTACTAACTGGAATGTAACCTATCACTTAAATCAGTCTCTGTACCAGATGACTAGAGGGTAGCTAATATAACAGCTATTTTTTAAAAAGGTTCCAGAGGCAATCCTGGCAATTACAGGCCAGTAAGCCTAACTTCAATACCAGGCAAATTAGTTGAAACTATAGTAAAGAATAAAATTATCAGGCACAAAGACAAATACTATGTTGGGGGAAGAGTAAACACAGCTTTAGTAAAAGGAAATCATACATCATCAATCTACTAGAATTCTTTGAGGGAGTCCACAAACATGTGGGCAAGGATGATCCAGTTGACATAGTGTGCTTGGACTTTCAGAAAGCCTTTTACAAGGTCCCTCATTAAAGGCTGTTAAGTAAACAAAGTAGTCAGGAGATAAGAGGGAATGTCCTGACGTGGATTAGTAACTGGTTGAAAGATTGGTGAAAGAGTGTAGGAATAAACAGTCAGTTTCACAGTGAAGAGATGTAAAAAGTAGGGTCCCCCAAGGATCTGAACTGGGACAGGTGCTGTTCAACATTTTCATAAATGCTCTGGAAAAGAGGGTGAACAATGAAGTGGCAAAATTTGCAGATGATACAAAATTACTCATGACAGTTAAGTCCAAAGCTGACTGCAAAGAGTTACAAAGGGACCTCACTAAACAGGATGACTGGGTGACAAAATGGCAGATGAAATTCAATGGTGAGAAGTACAAAGTAATGCACATTGGAAAATATAATCCCAACTATATATATAAAATGATGGGATCTAAATTAGTCTTTATCACTCAAGAAAGATGTCGGAATCATTGTGGATAGCTCTCTGAAAACATCTGCTCAATTTGCAGCAGCAGTCAAAAGAGATAATCAGAAAGTTAAGAACCATTAGGAAAGGGATAGATAATAAGACAGTAAATATCATAATGCCACTATATTAATCCATGGTACATCCACACCTTGAATATTGCACACAGTTCTGGTCATCCTCCTTCAAAAAGGATATTAGAATTTGAAGAGGTGCAGAGAAGGGCAGCAAAAATTATTAGAACAGCTTCCATATGAGGAGAGATTAAAAAAGAATGGAACTGTTCATCTTAAAAAAGAGATGACTAAGTGGGAAGATATAACAGAGGTCTATAAAATTATGAACGGTGTGTAGAAAGTGAACAGGGAGGTTTTATTTACCCCTTAACATAACTGTGGGCCATCTGATTAAATTAATAGGCAGCAGGTTTAAAACAAACATAAGGAAGTACTTCTTCACACAACACAGTCAACGTGCGGAATTTGTTGCCAGGGGATGTTATGAAGGCCAAAAGTATAACGACTTTCAAAAAAGAATTAGGTAAATTCATGGCTATAAGCCAAGATGGTCAGGAACACAACCCCATGCACCAAGCGTCCCTAGATCTTCAACTGCCAGAAGCTATGACTGGATGATAGGGATGGATCACTCAAAATTATTCTGTTCTGTTCAGTTCCTCTGAAACTTCTGGGACTGGCCACCGTGACAGACAGGATATTGGGCTTGATAGACCATTGGTCTTATATTCTTACATCCTTCAGATATTCTCATCTCAGTTCACTGGAGCCACTGGTGTTAGTGTGATTAGAATCAGCGCCACATGTCCTAACAGCAGCAACACTGAATGATGTAAGGGAAAGCTAATGGGTTAGGGATACAGAACACAAACAGAAAATCACAAATTGCATCTGCTGCAGATGGCCTCCAAAACGCAGCATGAAAAAAGAGACACACAATGCTCCAGCACAAGTGTCAGAATCCCCAAATGTGGTAATCTGGGAGGCTTTAATGACACTGATAGTTGCAAGAAAACAGAATGGCAGAGACAAGTCAGCAAGAGCATCTCTGAAATGCGCTGAAGAAACATTACTAACCAGATCTTTAGCATCCCTGTAAAATACATTATTTCTTCCTGCAGAAATAGGCAGAAATAAGATAGAACACACCAAAACAAAACAGATACCACCATCAAATAAAACATCGTTTTGTGCATCCTCTAGGGGCTATTTCACTTGCCAAGACCGGTCATCCCTCTGCTTGCTGTGCCCATAGTGGATACAAGGTAAAGGCACTGGCTCCAGAGCAAGCCTCCCCCTTAAACACCTGAGACCCTACAAAAAGACCTGGGACAGTGCTAGGAATGCATGGAGCTGGATTGCAGCCACATTTCCTACTGTTCTCACACCCAGGTAAATCTCTCACCCAGGCAGCCCTGGGAGCTCAGTGATGCTCCAGTCACCATCAAGTTCCACTGAATTCCCGTTACAGCCTGGCTATGGGCTGGGAAGCCGCTAGTGCCAGCAGAGCTCCTTCAGGAACCATGCTGCCAAAGCGAAATGCCACACAGGAGAGTATGGAAGGTATACGCTATACATGGGGCTTACGGCAAATTTTAATTGCACCGTTAAACAATAGAATACCAATGGAAATTATTTAATTTTTTGGATGTTTTTCTAAATTTGCAAATATATTGATTTCACTTACAACACAGAATACAAAGTGTACAGTGCTCACTTTATATTATTTTTTATTACAAATATTTGCACTGTAAAAATAGTATTTTTCAATTCACCTCATACAAGTACTGTAGTGAAATCTCTTTATCGTGAAAGTGCAACTTACAAATGTAGATTTTTTTTGTTACATAACTGCACTCAAAAACAAAACAATGTAAAACTTTAGAGCCTACAAGTCCACTCAGTCCTACTTCTTGTTCAGGTAAGACAAACAAGTTTGTTTACATTTACAGGAGATATCTTATTTACAATGTCACCTGAAAGTGAGAACAGACGTTCACATGGAACTTTCGTAACCGGCACTGCAAGGTATTTATGTACGTGCCAGATATGGTAAACATTTGTATGCTCCTTCATGCTTCGGCCACCATGCCAGAGGACATGCTTCCATGCTGATGGCGCTCATTAACTAAATTTGTGACCGAAACTTAGAGCAGGAGACATACAATTCTCCCGCAACATTTTACCCATATTCTGACATATATTTAATGCTATAGCAGTCTCGGCTGTTGACCCAGAGCATGTTGTTCATTTTAAGAACGCTTTCACTGCAGATTTCACAAAACGCAAAGAAGGTACCAATGTGAGATTTCTAAAGATAGCTACAGCACTCGACCCAAGGTTTAAGAATTTGAAATGCCCTCCAAAATCAGAGAGAGCAGGTGTGGAGCATGCGTTCAGAAGTCTTAAAAGAACAAAAGAACTCTGATGTGGAAACTACAGAACCTGAACGACCAAAAAAGAAAATCAACCTTTTGCTGGTGGTATCTGACTCAGATGATGAAAATTAACATGCTTCCAGCCACACTGCTTTGGATAGTTATCGAGCAGAACCAGTCATTAGCATGGATACAGGTCCTCTGGAATGGTGGTTGAAGCATGAAGGGACATATGAATGTTTAGCGCATCTGGCATGTAAATAACTGGCGACGCCAGCTATAACAGTGCCATATAAACTCCTGGTGATGTAAACAAGAAGTGGACAGCTTTATCTCCTGCAAATGTAAACAAACTTGTTTGTCTGAACGATTGGCTAAAAAAGAAGGAGGACTGAGTGGACTTGTAGGCTCTAAAGTTTTACATGGTTTTATTTTTGAATGCTTTTTTTTTTTGCACATAATTTTACAATTGTAAGTTCAACTTTCATGATAAAGACATTGCATTACAGTACTTGTATTAGGTGAATTGAAAAATACTATTTATTTTGTTTTTACAGTGTAAATATTTGTAATAAAAATAAATATAAAACGAGCACTGTACACTTTGTATTGTGTGTTGTAATTGAAATCAATGTATTCGCAAATGTAGAAAACATCCAAAAATATTTAAATAAATGGTATTCTATTATTGTTTAACAGTGCGATTAATTGTGCAATTAGTCTTTTTAATCGCTTGAAAACCCTACTTTGAATCCATCTCTGCTGCAAATTATTACTATGTAATACAGGGCTAAAGGGATTATTAAACTGATCATAAATGAAGAGTCAATTTATCCCTGCGAAGGTCTCAAAGTCCTGCGCTGGGATGAGCAAATAGCATGGTAAAAATGTGGTTCTACTGCCTCAATCTGGAGGGAGAACAAATAGTTTTACTCAATTAACAAAAAAGGTGCTTTTCACACTTCCCACTTTACAAACTCACCCTGGGATCTGAAAGTTAAACAGGGTTCTTCCTGGTTGGCTTGTGCACCCCTTCCAACAGTAAGAAATCTGCAGTACAAATGCCACCCTTAGCTGCACTTGTGTAACTCCCCGCCCCAATGTGGGATTGCTGAAGCGTAATGGAAGGCAAAATTATTAATTCTGCTGATGCGTTAGCAAGAATAGAATCCAGGTACCTCATCCGTTCCTGTTACACCACAGGGTTAACGGGAGTAAAAACTTGTTTTCATCCACGGAAGTGAACAGATATAGATTTTTAATCTGTTGAGTAAACTGGTGCCATTTTTAGTCATTGTGGAGCAGAACTTCACTTTAAGGTACCACTGGTTGAGCAACTGAGGTAGTCTAAAACTCACAAATACTAATGTAGATTGTCTTCTTCTGTATCGAGTATTTATTTTGCAATCAGTCCCAGTATAATCATTTGCTTAGACATAAAGATTAATTGCTACACATTTATAAGATTACAGCAGCATCATGTTACTTATTTCCAAAGGGAATATGAATGACTCAAGCAGACTACAAAAATGCAAGGAACTGAAGGAAGAAGGACAAATGATTTAGTTTTATTTCTTGTGAATACCACACAGCAAATAAGCTTGGACTCACAAGTATGATGAGCGAGCTGTAATCAAAGAGAAATATGTCACAACATGTAATTAGCCAACTCTCGTTTTGGATGAAATCCAATTCTGGAGTACTTTATAGGATTTCTCAAAGGTTTCCCTATTTTCAAAGTGCACTAGTAGTCCCTGGGAGGCCAACCTGCAGCTTGTTGGCCAAATGCAACCTGTGTAGGTGACATTTCTACATATTCACTCTTCAGGGTAGAGCCACACTTTAGAACTAGTCTTCTTCAGTTACATCTTCAATGTTACCAGTGATTCAAGAGTGGGTCTTGAAAGCGAAATTCACTGAGGGAGTGGCCTTTGTTGAAGAGGACAGATGTAGTTGGGGACAGATCACCAGGCTCTGTGTGTGCGCGCACGCATACTGCGATGAGTGGGCAATGGGAGTGCTTTAGTGTTGAGGAATCTGGGATGCTATTAGTTTGTTACATTGGGTTACAGTAGTTATACTGATTGCATACGGTCAGCACTGGATGGCTGCATTCTGATATGTTAAAATAAATGTGTCTTGACTAATTGGCTTACATTCTTTTCTTCAATTCATTTTTCTAGGAGGATGTCCATTTGAGAAACAGCTTTAACCTTATTAATCAGCTAGCAGAAGCTTAATTACTTACATATTTGTAGGGGCGGCTCTACCAATTTGGCCGCCCCAAGCAGTCGCTGCCGAATTGCTGCCGCCGAAAGCTGCTGCAGCAGGAAAAGCAGCAGACCTGCCACCGAATTGCCGCCGTGGGACACGGGCTGCCGCCCCATTCTAAATGCCACCCCAAGTACCTGCTTGGAAAGCTGGTGCCTGGAGCTGGCCCTGCACATTTAACAGCTACACAACCATAATATTATATTGTTTAATATAACTGAAATATGTACTATAGCATTATCTCCCCTAGTACAAACAACCTCTAGCTGAATGCACAAAAAAGAGCAAAGATGAAAAAATGGAAATAGTTTATTTGCTGCATAAGGAAACATTTTGTAAATTACATACAAGAACAAATGCTATGCTATAGTGTATACTTTTCAATATTTCACAAAGATAATTGTAATAAATATGCATAACAAAACAAGGTAGAAGACTAAATCTGAACAGCAAACTACAAAATGGTTCATCAAGTTTTAAACTTTACTTAAAAATTTCAAGCATGCAATTGCTGCAATACAGAAAAGTCGTCCTTTCACATTTCTTTGGAGTATTTTCCAAATTGTCTAACGAAAATACTGTCCAAAATTAACAATCATTAGTTAAACAACCTAAGAAAAGTAACAGAAAGGTCTAAATAATGCAAAGTTTTTAATCCTTTTGAGCTTTGTCCTTGTTAGGAATTATCTGATGTAAGTGCACTGTGTGTCCAAGTAAGCCTGAGGCACTATAGATTCTGTCAAATTAGGAGTCTATAAAGTTCATAGATTATGTAGCTCTGGAAATATCTCCATCAACAGGAATAAAACCAATGCCATAACTGAAACTGCAAGCTAGAATGGTTTTAACCCTTAAATGCACTGTGTTCTTAGAAATATTCTTCCTTAGTTCTCTACTATTCGCTGTCATTTTACCACATGAAGCACTTCCAATTCTACTTTTAATTCTTAAAGACAGACAAAGGCTTCAGTGATGCCCTCTCCTGCCCAAGACACTTGTAGAAATTATTGTTAGATGACAGCACAAATGTCTCATGTTCTCCTGCATTTGATGAAAGAGCAGGATGAATGGTCATTTACACTTCAATGCTCTTGGATATGCTGACAGATCTATGACTTTACACAGTTTTTCCGAGCTGAGAATACTTAACTATGCTTTAGTCTAGTCTAGCTGAATACTTTGGGTAAAAAGAGAGCCTTAAACATGGTTACCTAAAATATTTGTTAATATAGTTTAATGCAAACATCATGTAGCAAAATGGTTTAGTTACAAAAAAATTTCATTGGAGGGCCAATAAAAATATATTGAAGAGCAGATCTTTACAAAAGTGAGGTGAAGAATTGTGAGGCACTGAGTCTCACTGTAAACATCCTGCATTCACTAGAATCCCTTGTTTCCCTTGAAGTATGTGTGTTATTTTTTCCTGAGCTCCATGGCCAACAGCAGTGTGAATATTTGCATAGAGAGTCTGACCTACTGAAAAGGGTTATTTTGTACAGAACTTTTGAGGTTCATCTGATTTATGGTTTTACATTCTAAATTAGTTTTGTTTATGTTATAAACTATTGTGTCCAATATTGAGACAATGCAATTAAATATAAAGATGTACGGCATGGATTTTATATACTCAGTGTACAGCGGACATGGTAACTCATAATCCATGTTAATCTTGTTAAACATAAAACAAATTACAGTTAAGTTTAGTTGCTTGATGTTCTGGCTTACTAAGCAAAATTTCACACAAATATCTGCTTTTGTTCATTACTACATGGGTGAATGAACACTGCCCAACCCCAGGTCACATCTGGGAAGATGCAAGGATGCAAGGGCAAAAACACTGAGCAGACTAGAACACCCCACCTCCTTTTCAATATCCAGGACCAGGACTCAGAATGGAGAACTTCACCTTTACCCAGGAGGTGTGACTATTTGTGTCAAGATGGAGTGTTGCATGCTGGGACCTGTAGCCCACCCTGAAAGCATCTCCATATTGAAGAAGGAAGCTATGAAGCACAACACAACACTGCGGACCACACTTTACATCTGGGGTGGCCAAAGTAACAACAGCTCTGAAAAATACTTGCATTTTGGATATGAAAACAGTACTCTGAAAACTCTGTGGGAAGGAAGATGATGTGCAGATGTGTTAGGTCATAGTACATAGAATGAACAGGAAGATTGGCAGAGACAAATCCAGTTCACTAAAAAAAAAAAAAAAAAAGCAGCAGGTTGCCAATTTTAAATCTGGTGTTAAGGTGAGCCTAGCTAAACACCACGGCAGCATGACAGGAATCAATACAAACAGTTTGTTTCACTTTTTTTGTGATTGGCTTTTGCACATTGTTAAAATCTGTTTAAGCACTTTCTGGACATCTTCATCCATTTGACCCTAGACAGAAAGAGGAAAAAGTACGTTTAATTCTAGCACCTTTTTACTCTTTCATAAATTTTAAATGAGTAGTTTTAAAAGTATATTAACCCCCCAACTCCCAATCTTTTTTAAGAGGATGTTGCTTTAAATTTCTGTTAAATAGTCAGACTTTTTGTCTAGGGTAACCAAAAAATAAGAAGCTATTTTCATTATAGATTTGCAGAAGGGACCTCTTACATTAAAACACAACATATCTCACGTAACTGAGAAATATGCCATCATACCTGCACAGCATAGAGAAGATGCATCCTGTACACTGATACAATCTCCTGGTGCTGTTTCTTTGTCTCCTGAAAATATTAAGATGCCAAGTCAAGGAATGTGCATGCAAATTCACTTAAAAAAAACACCACATTTTGTTTTAGAGCACATGGATCTCGACAGCTATGATAAAATGGTATCTTTACTTATATAAGAAAACTATAGTGCTCATCTGCATGCATGCATTACACCAAGCAGTATGTTACAATTGGGCCAGCCAAAATAGGTCCCTTTGAAGTGTATGGCCCACTAAGAGGCTATAGCTTTATCTTCACCAGGAAAGTATATAGTACAGCTGTTATTGGTGCTCAAAATGGTTTAGCTGCAGACAGACAGGATCAAACCACAGTGAGCCACAGTCTCTGAAACTGTAGCTGGTTTTTCTGCAAGGAAGCTAAACCACTTGCAGTTAAACAGTTTTCAGCAACAGTTCAACTGCACCCACTGCCACACCCCTTTGTCAGCAATGAGTAGATTTCTTAGTGCAGATGAGGTTCATAAGGGTCCTGTCCTATGGAGCTCTGGCAAATTACTACATATTCAGCCAAAGACAAGCCCCTCTTCTGTGGTCACAGAATGCTGTGGCCCAAGAACCATCTCCCAAGTAAACCTGAAGTTCTGTTTTAGAAACTAGGTTGAGAGAAGTGGGCCATACAACCGTAACATTATACCACCCCTTTCCTAAACTTATCAGTGGGGTGAGAGAGAGGAGACACCAACCCCACAATAGCCAGTAGCCTGGGGTCAGGGCAAGTCCATGCTCTGCCCCAATCAGACCAGGGACTTCCACATCCCAGGCAAGCTTCCTGACCACCAGGCTATTGGCTATTCTTGGGTAGGAGGGTGTGTTGGCCTCTCACTCATTCACGCTCATTAAAACACCACTTTTAAAGGTCTCGGGTTCATCCCAATGTGGAACTTGTAATCTCAAAACTTTTCACAGAAAGGGAAAACCATTTCTGGCCCAGCTCTCGTGGTTAGGCAGTGGAGGAAAGGAAGCAGCTGGAGACGAGAGACTCCTACAGAACTCTGGCAGCAGGCTACGAGATGGCCATAAGCCTTCATTTTTAAGTAGGGCTATGTCTACACTTAAACTGCTACACCACCACTGTAGTGCTTCAGCGTAGATGCTAACTACAGCAGTGGGAGGGGTTCTCCCATTGCTGTAGTTAATCCACCTCCCCAAGAGGCAGTATTTAGGTCAATGGAAGAAAAGGCAACTCAGCTTGTGCAGTAACTGTGGTTCTTCGAGATGTGTCTCTATGGGTGCTCCACTTCAGGTGTGCATGAGCCTTTTGAGCCCTTGATGGGAGATTTTCTGTTAGCAGTGTCCATTTGGCCTGCGGATGTGCTCTATGCTACCTCGTATTGTGCTCCCAGGTCACACAGAGCTGGGCAGGCAAACCACCCGCAGTTCCTTCTCAATGCGAATGTCCAACAAGAACAGTCTGAAGCAGAGGGGAAAGAGGGTAGGTAGCGGAGCACCCTATGGGTACTCCACTTCAGATGACACCCGAGAAGTATCCTCATAGGGAGAGGGGACCTTTGGAATCAAGTTTAAGACTGAAGACAGTACAGCAAAATCAAGTGCCGCATCAGACCTGACAGTGCAGACCAAGGCATAGCGTTTAGAAAAGGTATGCACTGAAGCCCATGTAGCAGCTCTGCAGCTCTCTGACACTGGAAATGTTTTTGAATAATGCTGTGGAAGTTATTTGTAATCTGGTAGTGTGCGCTAAAATCCTCTGAAGAGGCAAAGCACCAGCTGCATCATAGCAAGCAATAATACACGCAGAGATCCATCTCACCAGTGTCTGTGAAGAGATTGTGGACCCCTTAAATCTTTCTGTGATGGATACAAAGAGTTTAGGTGATTTCCAAAATTGCTTGGTCCTATCCAGATAAAAGGCCAATGCCTATCATATATCTAACGTACGAAGTGAAGTCTCCCGCTGAGGTTTATTTGGTTTAGGAAATAATACCAGTAGATTAATAGCCTGTCTAAGATAGCAATCCAACCCTCAAAACTGCTGTACCGGGTACCTCCTGAATGGAGGGTGGGAAGCTCTTTTCCTCTGGAATCTTTTTCTAGCAGGCTCGGTGGTTCTGTGAAAACCAAAGAACTGAGCCAGGCATGATCTATGGGGCAGTTTGAGACCCGTAGGGTGTATATACCTGAAGATCTGAGCAGGGACCCTGGAGTCCTTCAGTGTAAGCAGGGACTCAACCATAGTTGATGGTCAGAAGCTCTTCTCGGGAAACAGGCGGTCCTCAATTGTATTCTGGACTCTCTCAGGAATCATGACAACTGGAGCCAGGACACCCTGCCCATGACAACTGCTGTGGATATGGATCTAGCAGCAGTATCTGCAGCATCCAAGGATGCTTGGATAGAGGTTCTGACTAATAAATGACCCTCCTTAATAGTGGCATGGAAGTGTTCTCTATGCTCCTGTGGAAGATGTTCAATAAAGAATGCAAATTTCTTGTACTTTGTGTAGTCCTGTTTGGTCATGATCGTCTGATAGTTTGCAATCTGAAATTGGAGGATTGCAGGTGAGCAGGTCCAACCTTTTCTGGTTCTTCTCTAAGGAACAGCCCTGTCTGTCTATCCTGTTCATTTATAGCATCTACCACCAAGGAATTAGGAGGGCGGGAAAATAAAAATTTTGAGTGCCTGGGAGGAACTTAATATTTCTCATCTGCCCATTTACAAGCTGGCAGGAGTTTGCGAGACAGTCATTGCTGGATCCAGAAATGCTTCGTTCATGGATACTGCAACCCAGGTGGGCATCACTTACTGCAAAATGTCCAGGAGCTTATGAAGTGAGAATCTTTAACCACCTCAAGAGATATCTGGAGTGTACCCACCACCCACTTCACAAGGTCCTGGAATTGACAAAATCCATCAGTCATTGAAGGTGGTAGAGGCGTGACTGACTCGTCCAGAGATGGAGATGAAATACGGGCTTGGGAGGTAACCTCTTTGTACTCAGTAGCCTCCTGTTCCTCAAAGATTGCCTTGTGTTTCGGATTTGGTACAGGAGACCATATGACTCTAGTTTCCTGATGCAGTGTAGCCAGAGTTCTGGCAAACTGCTGCTGATACACCGCCCAGAGATCTCAGGATGGTTCCTAGGAAGGCCCTTATGGGAGTCGGGATGGTATGCAAGACTGATACCGCCATCTCAGACCTGGGCAAGGAGGTCTTTGTCAAAGTATGGGTTCCTGTAATGATGCGGAGGGGAACCTCACAGGGATAAGCAGGAGACTGACTGAAAGTTATCTCCATCCTCCTCAGTGTCCTTCAACGGAGGGGGCCCCAGTGAAAAGAATGGAGAATCCTGTGGTACCAGGAAACACTGGTAATCCAGAGACTGGGGTCTTGGTACTGAGAATAGTTCAGAAACCATAAGCAGTGGGTCCCTAACACTCAACAAGTCCCTGGAGTAACAGATTCCTTTGGTATTGAGGAGGTCGGTACTGATGCAGCAGTTGATCTGGTGCACATAGGTGCCAGGGCCAATGATGTGCGCTTCAATTTTGTCAGTACTGACTGAGCTGAGTGGGAAGGCACCATTGTTGAATATGAAGTAGTCTGTGCTGATCTGGAAGCAGATGATACCAGATACTCCAGGATCTCCTTGCTCCATCAGTACCACAGGAAGTGTCTTTCACCTGAATGGTAGACAGTCGAAACTTCAAGGCCTTTTACACCACAGATCTAGCAGGAAATCAGGACTTCTTGGGAGCTGGCTCCTTGTGGCGGGAGACCGAGCTCCTCCTCTTTGGAGCCTTCCCTGAGTCCTTTGAGATCTTCCCTTTCTCAGGCAAGAACTTGGCCAAAGTTGAAAGGGCACTGCCTCTGTCATGAGACAGATGTATGGGGGAAAGTGAATCATAGACTATCAGGGTTGGAAGGGACCTCAGGAGGTCATCTAGTCCAACCCCCTGCTCAAAGCAGGACCAATCCCCAATTAAATCATCCCAGCCAGGGCTTTGTCAAGCCTGACCTTAAAAACTTCTAAGGAAAGAGATTCTACCACCTCCCTAGGTAACACATTCCAGTGTTTCACCACCCTCCTAGTGAAAAAGTTTTTCCTAATATCCAACCTAAACCTCCCCAACCTAAAGTGGGTGGGTCTCCTGACCTGACTCAGAAGCCAGTCGAAGGGAGTGCTCCACTATCATCATCATGTTCAGCTTGGTCTCCTGATTCTTCCGAGCTCTAGATTTTAGAGCCAGGCAAAAATTGTACTTTGGGAGAGAAGGGACTCTCCCAAGCAACAGAAACACTTTGTAGCCAACACCGATCAGGATAACTTCTTGACAAAAGAGGCAGCATTTGGAACATGCTCGGCCAGGTCCAATAAGGTCTCCAGAAAAAAATGGGGGAGGAAAATCGAAAACCTCTCAACTAGCTAAGTTTATATTAACAACTAACCCTAACTCGAAACACTCAACTAAACATCAACTCCAAAACACGCTGACGCATGCACGAGGCAGCCACACTAGAGCTCAGTTCTGGTGATACAGAAGGAACTGAGGGTGGTTTGCCTGAGCAGCCGTATATGCCTTCAGAGTGCAGCATTAGGTTGTACACAGCACAGGTGCAGGCTGAATGGACACTGCTAATTGAAAAATATCCAACCACAGGCTTGAGAGGCGCATGTGCACTTGAAGTGGAGCACCCATTGGGACACTACTCACAGAAGAATTCATATGTCAACCAAGCGCTATCTACACCGGGAGTAGGTTGGCTTAACTATGTCACTCAGGAGTGTGGATTTTTCACATCCCTGAGTGATGTAGCTGGGTTGACCTAACGTTTTAGTGTAGACCTGGCCTAAATGTTTTATTGTTTAAATGATTTACTACGTCTATTGCTCCCACTAGTATTCCTGAAAGAGACTAATTCTAGCTCAGCACCACATTAACTCCTGCTGCCTGACTGGGGAGAAGGAACAACAGGCACCAGGAAAGCGGTGTAGCTCAGCAGGTTGGGAACTCAAATACAAGAGCTTTCCTTCCCAGAACTTGGTGCTTAAAGAGATCTGAAAAAAAGATCTGTGTTTGGGGGCAGGGTGGGGCGGGGAGGTGTATTTCATAATCTAGGAGCAGCAGCTTTGGTAAGACAATGCCTGAAGTATGCTCTTCAGCAACCAGGCTCAAGTCTTAACTTTTTTTTTTTTTTTTTGGGGGGGGGGGGGCGCCAGGTCTGCGACTCCTGGCAGGCCTCCCAACACACCCACTTTAAGCACTGCCAGAGCAGCTCCGTAACGCACAGCAAGAGCTTTCTGTGGTTTAAAAAATGCTTTTCGGCTCTTTGCAGCTTGGAAGTCTTCATGTTCTGCTGGACTGGGCCCCTTACTTGTAAACGGGAAACCCCATTGAAGGTCCAATTTTAAAACCATTCAAAGCAGTTCACAATTCTGAGAAAAATTATCATCTTCTTAAAAAAAAATATGGGCCTGTTTGGATAGAAACTTGTCACAAGATTTCTTCCGAAAATATCAGGCTTATTTTAGCTTTTAATTATTTTTTAAAAAGATCTTAACTGATGACTAAATCTGCACCTTTCTGAGCAACACAAAACCCCATTGCAAACTGGCTCTGTACTTTATGCCACACAAGTACACCACATTTTATTACAGTTATAACATGTTGGATCAACTGTTAAACATTGCTCTAACAGCCCAGCGTCTCAGAGGTTTGGATATTCATTTAAAGCTGTGGCATTTCTGCTACAGTTTAGTTTAGTTGTGACACAGCAAAATGAACAAATGTATTGAGATGTGATGACATCTGCTTAGGAGGTGCCATAATTATTTTATCAACCCATTTAATGCCAATTAATGCTTAACCTCAACACAGTAGCTTAAGCAACTGCATTCTGTATAATGCAGTATCATTTCAATTATTGGGAACTGCTGCACTATTTCCCGTATCTCCAGAGCAGAAAATGGAGTGAAGTTGACTGATCTAAGTGTGAGATCTCTGGGGATATACTGGAACACAGTAACTCAGTTTTGTATTATTGCCGAAAGAGTGCATTGCTGTGACAATAATGAGGATTCACTACTATCAGTTATAGCATATAATAAAAGGGATCACTTTATTGCATTAAGCATCCATTTCTCGTACTCAGTAGTTGTGCTTCACTTTAACTGGGCACTGTAAGGAAGACTTCACATCCTATTAGCAATCAGAGCAGCTGGAGTTTATCAGTTAAGAAACCGACACTTACAGCCAGTTGATTTTGTAACTGTTTCACTTGTTGCTGTAATGCCTCCAGCTGTTGGCTTTGTCTTTTGGGTGCACTGGTTGAGTAGGAAAGCTGAGAAAGACTGTTCAATGCTTCTTTTAACTTGCAAACTTCCTTGGACATCTCATTGATCTATCAAGGAAAAATAGTACACGTGAAAGGATGCAAGAAATATGGTTTTGCTGTGCTTTATTTAGAGAACATTTGTGCCTTTTTTTCTGAATTCTGAAAAAGCAACCCTACCTTGGTCTGAGGCACAAGGCGGCTACTAGGTAAACAAAAGGTTATAGTGCTCCCACCATGCTGCAACCCTTTGTCTACACAAAGGGATGTAGCTCTTTCTCAGCCAGCTCTGCAGTGCCGCCTCCTCACTCTGCAAGCCAGTAGGCAGTTCTAGCTCCTCACCAGTACTGGGAGGAATGCACGCAGATGTAGGTCCTCCCAGCTGGCTACTCTCTCCATCTGCCTTTCCCAGAAATTGTTTCTCTCCTACTTACCTTTCTACCTCTATTTCCTTCCCCCCAAATCTCTGGCATACTACTCTTCTTTCTGCCTACATCTCACCCACCATTCCAGCTCCCTCCCCACTAAAGCCTCTTGGCTCACTGCCAAATTTCCCTCCACCATCCTGATCATTTTAAGCATTCCGTTTCTGTTAGCAAATTTGCTTTTGTACAGAATTCTCACATTTCCAAATGGAAACTCATCGCTTTAACAACTTACGTGAAGCAATATTTATACCATTGAGGTATTGCGTTTACTGACTCTATGGGCACAGCCTCTGAATACATCTATGTCTGAAGACAGAAATGCAGCTCGCTTGGGCCAAGTATACAGAGCCAGCAAAATGTTATATAGCCAGCTACCACATCTGTGGCCCATTTTCTATTATAAGAACTCTGTGCTCTCAGATATCCCAATTATGGAAAAAGATGAGTAGGTATGGGTGAAATGATCTGGGTAAAATAAGAACTGTAGGATCTTTGGTCACTTGTGCATCTTTATTTAGGTTTGCAAAACTTCTCTCCCTGTGGATCTCTCCCTGTTCTAACTCCCACGTCCATCATTTCAAAACAGGAGTGCAAGCACTTGGGCAACTGGGCCACATATGACTTCACCTGACAGTGACAGATCATGCAGCTCTCCTTGTGGGGATCTCCACAGGGTCAAATATGCATTTAGCCAAACAAGCTTTTATCAGTATTAAAGATGGGATTCTGGGACCTTAGATTACAAGACAGAAAGGTGTATTCAAAAGTTATACTCCGTGACACTTTGTTTAATATGGAGCTGTGAACTGCATGCGTTACTCAAGTTGCTTTATAAGGTCTAAACATCCAGGAAACCCAATCTCTTTAATGAATCACTAACCTTTTTATCTTTATCTTCTTCTAGCTTTGACGAGCTTTCTGCATATCTTTTCATGTCAAGAAGATCTTCTTGAGCTTGATGGTACTTACGGTAAAGTCCATTTATTTCCTGCTCCTTGCCCTCAAGGAGAGTTTGAATACCTTCTTTTTCCCCTTTTAATTGCAAGACTTCATTTCTCAATTGTGCAGCATCTACGGACACATTCTCTTTCTCTTTCATTAAATCCTTTAGTTTGGATGACAAAATATTAACTTCACCTTCTAACGATGACTGGAGTTTTTCATATGAAGCTCTGAGCACCATTGCTTCCTTAATTGCAGCTTTTTCTTCCAACAATTCCTTCTGCAGATTTCTTACCTCAGTTTCCTTGTTAATAAGCTCTTCCTTAAACTCATTTATTTCTTCTTCCATTTCCTTTGCCGTACACCTGAGAGCAGTTACCACCTCAAGATGCTCAGCAACTGGTACAGAGTTTTGTTTCTGAGTATCTATCAGTTGCTTGAGCTGAGCTACTTCATTTAATACCTGTGTGTACTGGGACTTCATGTCAGATAATGCATCTTCAGCTTTATCTTTCAATGAATTTGTTACCGACATCAGTTTCTCATGCTCATCTCTAGGAATGTATTCCAAAGCTACATCCTCTAATACTTTCCTCTTCCTGTAATCTTCAAGCTCTGTTTGTGCTTCTTTGTACAACTGAGACAGCTCACTAACTTGTCTGTGTAGGTCATCTATCATTCTATCCCTTGCTTCTTTTATCTCCCGAGCTTCATCACTGGATTCCAACTGCATCTGATTTAACTTGTCTTGTAGCCTTTTGATTTCTCCTTGCCCTTCTTTGTATCTCTCGATCAACAAAGCTTTCTCTTGGTTAATGTTCTCAATTATTGAACAATAAGAATTTTTTATTTCCTCACATTCTTCTATAGACATTTTGCTAGCAACGTTCTGCTCTCTTTCTTCAAGTTTTTCCTGTAGCTCTCTCACTTTCTCTTTATGCCTTTCACTTTCCTCTAATGCTTTCCTGAGTTCTTGCTTTAGCACTTCAATTTCCTCACATGTAACCCTCAGTTCATGGACATCCGAGTAAGTATCTTTGTTTTCAGAAGCAACAAGGCCCAATTTCATCTGCGTTTGTACATTCAAGACCTCTTTCATAGCTTCTTCATACCGGCATTGGGTTTCTTTAAGTTTCTGGCTAAGATCAGAGCTATTTTCAGAAATATCTGCACAGTTTAAATTAATTGTTTCTGGGATTCTAGACTGAAGTTGGGTCTCTAAGTACTCTCTTTTTGCTTCGGAATTATCTAATTTCCTCTGTATATCCTTTAAATCTTCTTGTAGACGCTTAATTTTTACCTCATTGTTGCTTGTTGACTTCTCTTGAGTTTGTGTTGCATTTAATGAGGATGATTTTAGCTCCTGAGCTGAAGTTTGACTTTGTCTATCCACTGACTGATCAAACTCTGTTTGGGTGGAATGATAGGAATCTAGGGTGGAATCCATTTCTGTTTCTCTGGGTGCTTTTTCCTGCATAAAAATCATTAGTGTTTATAAAACAATATATGTTACTGAGTAGATTAAGTAAGGAACTCTTACTGTGCCCTACAGAGATGAACAATGAAAACATTGTGGGCTAGATTTTCAGCAAAGCTTAGCACGCAAAGGAAGATACTGGCTGCTAAGTGCATCTAAATACCTGGGATGATTTCTGAAGCACAAAAAGGATCAAAAGCTATGAGAGTTAAAATGCTGAAAACCCTCAATCATTAGTCAGAGTTCTGAAATAATTAACTCCATCTATAAAAAAAAAAAAAAAGGTTATCATCTAATTTATGGGGAAAATGAGAATTGCAAACGATTTCATACTCGAAGTCAAAGTTTCCTCTTGATTTCTTGAAACTCTTACTACCTACAAACTGTCTTTTAATTTATCTTCACAGCACATCACTATAAAACAAAGTAGTTCTTTATTCCGCTATTCAAGAACTGAAAGATCCCTTTCCTTTGAATTAGGTGCATAAATGTAATACATACCTGTAATTTGTCTTGTAACTCCTTATTGTGTAGTGTTAGAGAAGCAATTTTTGCTTGCAACAATACAAGCAGATCTTGCTGGTCAGTTTCAGAACTTATATCCAGTAAGCTATCAGCACCTTTAAAAAAAATGGTTACAAACCATTTAAAACAACTGAAGTGATGACGTATTTCCTGCTTTTGCTACAGTCACTATCCTTTCACATAAAATATGATTTGACTTTGAGATGGTGTGAACTTGTTTTGTTTTGTTTTTTTTCATAAGAACAGCCATACTGGGTCAGACCAAAAGGTCAATCTAGCCCAGTATCCTGCCTTCCGACAGAGGCCAATGCCGCATGTCCCAGAGGGACACCATTAATATGCCAAATGAAGGAATTATTTCTAGCTAGATTTCTAAAAACGGTTTAATCACTGGCACGTCAGTTTTTCTACAGAGTTACAATGCTGAAACCATTCTCTAATATCTTTAGCATTATTCCTACATTTAAATGGTTCTAAAAGACAGTTGATAAAAAGAATAAGCTCTGAGAATTAAAGAAGGCTTTATTATTCACCTTACCTGTAGTACTATCACTCAATCTATCCTTGTTATCTCGCTGAATGGAGCTGATCTCTTCCTGTGAGACACAAGGAGACAACCCTTTCACTTCAAGAAGTTCTAGACTTCACAGAAATGAGTATGGAATGAGGTCAAGCCCTGCAGAATGGATGCTCTGGGGTCTGATGTCTTGTTCCAAACAACACTCCTTAAAAGTTAGGGGCCAGATTTTTAAATTCACCTAAGAGATTTGGCCTCCCGATTCCCATTAAAATTAATGTGATCTGGGCATCCACACTCCCGCAGGCAGTTTTGAAAGTCTTTGCCTATGCGCCAAATTATGCAATGTAGTGCATATGATATATTTAAAACATCAAAGGACTACAGTCTTCGATAACACAGGGTGAAATCACACAGTAGCAAGTGGCTACTCATCCCGATGAAATCTTTTGAATGAGGACTGTCTTTATTGTATGTAATGAACATGCCAGGCACTTTGTTAGCACTAAATAACTTGCTACTGTGTGTTAAGATGCAAAACATTTACTCATTTATTATGAATTACCACCACATTTACTGAAAGAAAATATCAAAATAAGTTTACAAAATATATGCCCTTTGATTTTACGCACATTATAAACCATTTATTTATCAAAATTCAACCATTCACAGTGGATCTCCCAGTCACTGATGTGGATTATCAAAGTTCTATATTTTTATCCCCTTAAATACAGCCAAAGTTTATTAAAATGACAGAACAGCAAGAGTAAATATACCTTGCATACTTGTTCAGTGAAGAACACCTGTCCTTTTCCAGCAATTGGAGTTGAGGTTGCTGAACGTGGAGAGGACAAATCACTGAACTGAAAAAGAAGTGTGTGCGTGTGTGTGTATATATATATTAGGGAGTTCTACTGCCTGGGTTAACATATGCAATAATTCTGTGTTAGCACCAAAGAGCAAACCTAATTACTCAATGCTGTTCTTAGCCAGCAGCACACATGCATTATTTCCAGACATGAGCAATGTTTCAGTTTAATAACCTATTTGTTAAGCTGTAATTAAATCCCATATTATATATCTTTCCTGCTCTCTCCCCTTATTAGATTTCTACAGCCATCTGTATGTGGAAGTGCATTTTAAGCCATTCATCAAAAGAGACCACCTTTATGTGCAGCTTTTAGACCATGCCACATTTCTAGCAGCTTTCTTAATAACTGTAACCAATACGGGTTTTCAAGATGTCATCCTAACCTTAGAAAAAATCTACTCATAACACATGAGACAGACATATAAAATAACACAGCAGATTTTGCCAGCATCATTCACATTGTGCTCTGGATCTTTCCCATCCCACTACAAATATCAAAATGTTCAAACTTGGACTTTTTCTTTACCTGGAGAGGACTGATAGGAGGAGGTGGGGCTTTGCGTTTTTTTGGAGTTCCACTTCTTTCTGAACTTAATTTAGAGACTTGGTCATGCTGAAAGTTTCACAGGCCAGAGAATGGAGGTTTGTTAATTTGGTTAGTAAAGTCTGAGTAAGCAGTTTTATTAAAAACCCCACATAACTTGAGCAATTTGTTCCTTGTTTCATTCAAGCTTCTCCACAATAACTACATTGCTATAGTAGGCAAGATACTAGGCATGCTTGAAGACAAGGATGGCCCCCACCCCCTTTGCAATTCATGCTTCAGCAAAAACAAAGATTTAGTGAAAAAGCACAAGCTGATGAAAGGTTTAGCATTTACTAGTAATCTCAAATACATCATTCGTTCACAGCTTAGTTAACTGACCACGAATGGCCATTATTTTTCTTCTTCGTCAACTACTCTTGTGTTTGGATAGCATGAAAGAACTATTTCTTCTGGAAGGGGAGTGCCTGAATCAGTCACTCCATGGCTTCTCACTTTAATGGGGTGTGCACCCTCCAAAATATTATGCCCCTAATAAGTGCTAGTAGGGCATTTTTATTGCTTCAACCTGGTGGGATTTTCACCACTGGGCTCTCCAGCAAAGGGCATCCCAGCAATACCCCTTGTAACCCTGGAATATCTGTTTCCTGTTGAAAAGTTTTGCCTTTGTCTGTCTCCATAATCAAGGTGTGAGAAAGTCCAGCCTTGGGGCCTAAACTCTTGAGTTTTTCCACAAGAGTTTGTGCTTCCTCTCCCTAACCACAGAACCACACCCTTCCCCCCAGCACCCTTTTCCTGCCTCCCCAAAGCTGATTGGTTACTGAATCTTGTAAAAGGCAAAGTTTAAAAAAGAGAAAAAAGCTATTAAAGCAATATATTTCTGCAACATGCTTCTACTATGAGCAACTCAAACATTCATACTATAGAACATTATAATTACAGGTAAATCTCAGAGTGACATTTATTGGTGCTTTTAAGCATATGCCATTTATCATTTTCACAGGAAGTCACAGACCTGTATAGTCTGAATATTTTCAAGTAACATGAGAGAGACAAATACCTGCTTTGGCTTTGTTGGTGACTTCGTATCTGTAGAGCAGGGAGGGGGAAAAAAGTGTTTTATGTTAAATACCATTAAGAAAAAAAGCAATAATGTCTTTGCATGGCCCCACCCCACCCTGACTGCCTGCAATGCCAGCCTGGATATCCCATTTGTCTACTTCTTCTCCAACAAGTCTCCTGCATTTCTTTCATGCTGCCTACATACTTGGAATACCCTTCTTGAAAGAGTCCACAAGGCTACTCCCCTCTCTACATTAGAGCCTCTCCATGACATCCATCACTGGGAAGCGTAAACAAAATTAGCGAGCTAAGAACTTTAATTTATTCCCTTCACAGAATAAAAAGCCCAACTCCATGCTGTGTGCTAGCCCTTGCTATGTTACTGCAGTAATTTCCCTCTGTTCCTCTTCCTCATAGCTGCTCCCTATTGCTCCACTAGCCCCATGGAACACTATCTGGCAAGTTTTTTGGAGCAGGGATCACTTCTGTGTTTTAGGAAGCACCTCGCAAACTGGGTGCAGTGCTAAGTTAAACAGCATGCTAATTACCTGCAAGAACTAGCTCATTTCAAGATAGCGCAAAAAGTAAATTCACTTCTCGTTGAAAACAGATCTGGTCAGTTCAAACTGACACATTATTTCCTCTCACATACCGGCATCCGGAGAGATCTTCGACAGGAGGAGGCTCTGAATCCCGGCGTTCTCAGAGAGCTTGGAGTAATGTAGGGCATCGTGTCCAAGGGCATCTACAAGGCTGAAGTCAGCACCCTTTCTGACCAAGGCTTCCACAATGTTAAGGCCGCCAGCTTCACAAGCCAGCATCAAAGCAGTTCTAGAGAAAACACACAGAGCCCAAGTGTAACGATTCTACTCTTAGGGCGGTAGCTCTGTCACATAACTTTTTTGGGAAAAACATCCTGAGTCATGGACAAACATCCATAAAATCCAAGATTTGTTTTTTTAAATCAACATGTACAATTTCTCTCCTCATTTCTCCCCACACACCTGCTCCCACCCCAGCCCCCACCCTACCCCTAGGGCCTTTTTGAGGAATTTGGCATTCTGATCCTTGCTCCATCTTGAGTCTCATCACTGCACTTCCAAGAGGAGGTACCTGATGGGCAGCTTTTATCAGCAGGCTGTCCAGTTTTCGAAAGGAAACTGGCACAGAAGCAGCTTCTGATTAGAAAGGCTGTCAGATGCCAGAGCCAAGATCAAACTACAGCCCTGAGAGTCATGGTGCAGGACAAGAGCATCTATTTGATTACAGCTGCATTTCACTCATTGCTTTTAAGTGAACGCAGATACAGTCATGGAGATTTACTCATTTCAGCCAAAAAGCAAAATAAATTGAAAAGACACACAGTGAAGGAGGACAGCTCAAATCTCCTCTAGAAAACCAAAGTATCTTGTTATCCCACAAAAAAATTTAGCAGTCAATCCCAACTCCAAGGTTAGGCAACCGACAAACAGTGTCAAGAGCCTGGAATAGTGGATTGCATGCAGCAGGAGTACACTGTATTTTTTTAAAATCCTTCCAAGTTACTTGCAGGGATGAAGAGTTTTATCAAAAGTACTTTGCTGCATACTAGCATTTGTTTACCCTCCTGTGAAAAATACGCTGCCCTCAGCTTGAAAACAGGTCTAATAGATTGGTGTTTTTTAGTTTGTGCTTTGAAAGGAACAGACAAGAACAATGGCAAACACGATCATGGCAATGAATTTTTTTCAGAGTAGCAGCCGTGTTAGTCTGTATCTGCAAAAAGAACAGGAGTACTTGTGGTACCTTAGAGACTAAAATTTATTTGAGCATAAGTTTTTTTCTCCTGCTGATAATAGCTCATCTTAATTAATTAGCCTCTTATTCCACTTTTTCATGTTCTCTGTATGTGTATTTATATCTATCTATATCTTCTTACTGTATGTTCCATTCTATGCATCCGATGAAGTGGGCTGTAACCCATGAAAGCTTATGCTCAAATCAAATAGTCTCCAAGGTGCAACAAGTACTCCTGTTCTTTTTATGGCAATGAATTGTTTCTTTCCATATTTGTCAAAACATTATAGCACTCCTTTCACTCACCACTTGGGGGCAGAAGCACGGTGGAAAGATGGCAGTTGCACAGCAGTGTGTTAAAATAGTAGTGGAAGGGAGGAAAGTGAAGAATATCATATTCAAGTGAAATTGCAGAGATGATTTTAGAGTAATTGCCCAACTGGAATTTGGACAGGATATTCAAGTTGGACAATCCCAATTTTTATTTTTTCATATTAAGAGAGCTTACATAAATTAGTGATACATATTGCCACAAAATCAGATATATAATACGTTCAGCTAGTCTTCATACAAGGAGGAGAGGGCAGAAAGAAAAACAGAGTTTCTCATTTAGTATCATCTTCCTCCCTTCTATTCACCATTACTGTTTTCTAAAAAGAGCAGGAATATAACTACTGTGCTGTCTACTGAAGAGTGAAATGCTCTCATACAAGTGGACAATGAACTTTCAAGAGAGTTTCCATAGAATCAACAGAAAGCCTGTAAGTGAAAGGTAGAGAGACCTCTCAGAGTGGACAGCACTGTAGGTTCAAAACAAGGACAAGGCCATTCAGCAACTGGACAAAGGGGCTAGTTTTCTTCTTTTCTTAGAAAAGCTGACAACAAAACACTGCTCTAATGCACTTAGTCTGTATCAGTCCAAAGTAAGGGCTAACTCTTATTTTTCCCATATGCTGTAAAGTGCTCTAAATCATCTTATCGTGCATTACAATGTGTAAATGCCAAATCTCCTCAGCAATCCATTTTGCTCTGGCAATTTCAATACTGGTTTATAAAACAGTTCAAAGATTTTTTAAAAATGTAAATTCCATCAACAAAATTGTAAAAAGAAAAAGTGGGGAAATACTCTTGGGATGCTCTTCTTTAAAAAGCAATTTTGACAAATCATGAGCCTATAAATTCAACGTATTACTAAATGGTGCAGCTATAGAGAATCATAGAATATTAGGGTTGGAAGAGAGCTCAGGAGGTCATCTGGTCCAACCCCCTGCTCAAAGCAGGACCAACCCCAACTAAATCATCCCAGCCAGGGCTTTGTCAAGTCAGGCCTCAAAAACCTCTAAGGATGGAGATTCCACCACCTCCCTAGGTAAGCTATTCTGGCGCTTCACCACGCTCCTAGTGAAACAGTGTTTCCGAATATCCAACCTAGACCTCCCTCACTGCAACTTGAGACCTTTGCTCCTTGTTCTGTCGTCTGCCACCACTGAGAACAATCTAGCTCCATCCTCTTTGGAACCCCCCTTCAGGTAATTGAAGGCTGCTATCAACTCCCCCCTCACTCGTCTCTTCTGCAAACTAAATAACCCCAGTTCCAGCACTTCCATCGTGGAGTCCTTTGTTGTGTCTTCTCTTGCAGTTTTCCAGCATCTGATCATCACAGTACTTTAATGGCCTTTTAGACAGGAAAAATCCTTCTGGAAACATGTCTTGTAGTTATTGGAGCCAACTTGGAAATGTGGACTCAAGCCAGACATGGGAAAAAATCCAATGGAGAAAACCAAGCAGCCTTCAAAAGACTGTATATGAATGTTATTGGCCAGATTCTTGTAGGAGGGATATTTAAGTGTGTTTTTCTCCCATTTTACACCACTCTGGAAGTGTGAAGACTGTCTTAAAGGGGCCAGCTGGCCCTATGTATTTACCCTTTCAAATTTTACTTTAGCCATAACTCTCCGCACACGCTCCAAGCCTTCTCTCACAGCCAGGTGACAACCTCTTATACAATTGTCAACATTTACTATTAATGACAGTTCTGGGGAAGTATGATGAAAAAAGAAAAAAAAACTTAATTTCAAAAGGTCAATATCATGGAATTCACTAATACAACAAAGCTATTTTGTTGTACCTTCCATTTTTGTCCCTGGAATTGATGTCTGCTCCATGATCCAGAAGATGTCTACATATCTCAGCATGGCCATTTTGTACTGCGAACAACAGGGGTAAATTCCCATCCTAGGAACACATTTAAGAAACTATGAACAAGAATGAATTCATTCACCCCCCCCCCCAAAAAAAAACCAACCCTCAGTTAATTTAAACGTTAATTATGACCCTTCCTTCTACAGAGCATGGATTGTAAGGCATATCCAGTTTCCCCTTCATAAACCATGGATTTTTCTTCTTTTGTTTGTTATGAAACAAGTGGCAATGTAATTTGGCTTAATTTAATCCCTTGCGCCTGAGCATCCACAGAGATATCAATCAGCACAGCTTTAGGAATGCTGTTGGTTATTGGTTCTCCCTTTGCTCTTTGGTTAACTCTACAGCAGGTCAGAGCAGGTCTCTAAGGTCCTAGATAAATCATTTAATTTCTTAAGAAATATTTCCAAAATAAGTGGTGAGTTTAAACATGAATTAGGTAAATAGAATCAAAAGGACAAGATAAGTCTTCAAGTGAGACAAATTCTAAGTATAAGTTTTGTGATAGACCCAATATCAGATACGACAGGTGGGAAGGAAGAAGTTTCTCTGACTGGAGAAATGATATTGAGTTCAGACAGCATGCATGAGTGTTTTTATGCCTGAACTCTGGAATGCCACCAGTCTTTTGTCATGCAAGGTATAATTTTATAGGAGGACCTCAAAAGCTTGGGTGCAACTCAGTGATTTGTTTTGTCCATGGACATTTCATGGTGGCTACTCTACTTTAAATTAACTTCTCTGAAACCTTAAAGGATATACAGAGTACAGCCAGCAAAAGTGGACTCCATCCACAATGTCTCTATGGATTCAGAGAAGGAGGAGGTCCAGTGGTTAGGGTGCTAGCCTGGAAGACCTGGGTTCAATTTTCTGCTCCACCACAGATATCCTGTCTGACCTAGGGCAAAGTACTTAGTGTCTTTATGTCTCTGTTCCCCATCTATAAAATGGGGAAGACAGCACTTCTTTAGCTCACAGAGCTGTTGTGAAGTTAACACGTTAAAGATAGAAAGGTGCTCAGATGCTATGGTAATGGCAGCCAAGGCAATAAAAGGGCCTAAGATATATAGATGGATATACATTGTTCAATCTCTTGTTAGCTAGTCCGTAAACAAAAAAAATAGTTTTACAAGAAGGTTAAGCATCATATTTCTTTCCACCCCCACACACACTCAAGAGAAAAGACATGCCAAATCCTGGGGCACTCTTTAACCATACCCTCATGTCCACATAGCATGTTTCCATTGAAAGCAAAAAACTCCACACCACCACAAAGAGCTTCCCTTACCTCCAGCTAATAAGGAGGAACAGGGAACATCAGTCTCCCCAACATGATAATGCAAACCATTTATTCCAAACTCAACAACATGAGCAAGTATTCAGTGTCACTGTGTATATACATAGGTGCTGGAACTAGGGGTGCTGCAGTACCCCCTGGCTTGAAGCGGTTTCCATTATATAAAGAATTTAGAGTTTGGTTCAATGGCTCTCAGCACCCCCGTTATAAAAATTGTTCCAGCACCCCCAGAGTATATACAAGTTACATGTGGAGTGGGTTGTGTGTTAGCAGGGCAAGCACAAGGGTGCAGTCCACAGTGTGCTTTACAACATGACTCTGTATAATAATCTGTGCTACACAAGAGATGATTCACCACCTCAAATTCAAGATACATTTAACTTGCAAGGGCTCACTATAGCTGCCACCTTTGCCTTACAAATGTGGGAAAAGAGAAGGGCTGGCACATATAGGGGGGAGGGATAGCTCAGTGGTTTGAGCATTGGCCTGCTAAACCCAGAGTTGTGTGTTCAATCCTTGAGGGGGCCATTTAGGGATCTGGGGCAAAAATTGGGGATTGGTCCTGCTTTGAGCAGGGGGTTGGACTAGATGACCTCCTGAGGTCCCTTCCAACCCTGATATTCTATGATTCTATGGCACTCATTTGACAGCTTTTCTCTATAAAAGAAGAGGGACTTTTCATTTTCTTCAATACTAGAGATGGGATAGTCTTTAGCTGTTTTCCAGCAACTCTCTCGACAGGTTAATTAGCATAATGAATTAGGCACCAAGCTTTTAATCAGTTGTGAAGCCTATAAAAAGCTTGACAACACTTAGGCTGTTGGCCTGCTGACACCACAGCCTATTATGCTGACCAATATTGTCTTTGTTTCCTTGTATTCCTCTGTCAACCTGTCTGTATCCATCTGTTGTCTCTTGTCTTATACTTAGATTACAAACTCTTTGCGGGGAGGAACAGTCTTTTTCCTTTGTGTTTGTACAGTGCCTAACACAACAGGGTCCTGGTCCATGATTAGGGCTCCGAGATGCTACGGTAATACAAATAGTAAGTAATAAGGCAGCAGAAGGAAGAGAGCTGCTGGTCAGGACTTGTCCACATAATGTGCCTCAACCACAGCCAACCTGAGCCAACGGAAAAACTCCAGCAGATTCAAATGGGCTTTGGATCAAGGCCATATGCCGGTTTCTGGCCGCTAGCACAAATCCCTCACTTTCATGAGCAGCAAGTTTGGTCTTTTTTGCATTAGGTGGTGAAGCACTTCTCTTCCAGGTGTGCACCAGCACGTCAGATGTAAAGGCAACTTCCCCACAAAGGAAATAAGGGAAATTAGAAAAAGTATTGCTTAGAAACTGCTGTAATAGACGTTTGCCAGATTGAAAGATGGAAAACCATTTTAAAGCGTTCAGTGAGATAAAGTACATACCAAATCTTTGACATTAATTGGGCATTTGTGCTCACACAAAAGTTGAACTACTTGAAGGCAGCCACATGAAGCTGAAAAAAAATGAATAAAAATCAATTAAATCCATTTTTAAAAAGTCTATTGTCTCTGCACTGCCAGTGTATAATGGTGGAAGCATCAAAGAGTTCAACTCAAACATTCACACTGAAAAATATTAGAGGTTCTCTTTAAAAAAATCCACTGAAAGGGCATTTGCAGATTTAGATGTTTCCCTGCCTTCTTGCAAACCAAAGACTGCAGCATTATGTTAGTGTCTGAGAACTAACCAATCAAATTGATTTGTCTTTTTTTACCGTCCAAGCAGGACGAGGGTGGGCAGAATACAAAGAGCATGAATTGAGAAAAGCAAATTATATTTTAAAATAAACCTGTAATCACAGCCCAGAGTAGCATAAGAGGATAGTCTTTTTGCCCAAAAACATGAACAACTTGACCCATAATACATTATATCACCTTTCTTGGCACTTTCATGAGTACCCCTGTTAACTGTACATGATTTTAAAAGCAATACGTTTGATTCACTTGTTTGAAGTGTAGCAACGCTGAAGTCTACTGGCCATATGTCACTACAATCAGTAAAACTGAGATGCCATTGATTTAAGCAAGGAGTTCATTGTAACTTTTTAAAAAAAAAAAAGCAGACACACTGAAACAATGTCAAGAAGCTATAAATAAGAAAAAATTAAAAGAAAAGTGAAGAAAATGTAGTTCTATGAGGAAACAGAAGCAGAGCCTACTTTAATGTATCTTACCGCGGTGCTGACTACTTTTCCAGCCATAACATGAAAATCACACAAGGAGTTACTGGATTTATGTGATAACATTTATCAAGCTCTAGCATGAAAGAGAATGTCTAGGATTGTGTAAATGCCAGAATGAGAGAGTGGATAACAAGTTTTCAACAGAAAAGTTACCTGCATAATGTAAAGCTGTTTTCCCAGAGTTGTCAATGCTGTCTGCTGGGCATTTAGACTGTAGAAAGAAGAAGAAAATGCTTAGAGAAAAATAAAAGAACACAAAGCATTTGTTTGCTGCAAGTACAGAGGGATGACCTCTTGGGACAACCAGCTTTATGAACTACCACAGATGTTCCAGGCCATAAAAACCAATAAACACTGGGTTAATCATTAGAAGGAATAGTTTTCCTCTCAATAAATCCTAACTACTTTAGCATGCATCCCACTTGCTGAAACACATACACTGGAGTTATGGAAGACAACACTCCTGGGAGGAAGACATGACCCCGTAACCCTCCTGGCCAATGAAGATGATCAAAAGTTGCAGAATAAAGGAAACTATACATTCAGAACAGTCTATATCTGGCTGTCTTGTGTAAAGAGTACTCACAAAAAATCCCCACCTCCAAATTTTATTTAAAAAAAAACAAACAAACCCATTTTATAATGCAGTTTGTCTACATTATTTACAGTCTTTGTTAAAGAAAATGTATGCTTCATCTTTAGGTATATTAAATGAAGTGACTATTAAGATAATAAATACAATTATAATCTATCTTCATCAGGATTTTTCAAAAAGCCATAACTGAATAATTTTAAAATCCTGGCTTTCCTTTAATACTTTTACCATCATACCTAGTTAAAGTAATAAATCTTAACAGTTCTTTAACATGGCATTTTTCAGCACATAAAACTTTAGTAATATTATGCATTAAACTAAAGTGGTATTTTTAAAAGAATTGGTTTTTAAAATGAAAAATATTAGCTCCAGGCCTTTAAACACAGCACATCTATCTATAAACTTTAGCAAAACTGCTGGGTAAGTGGGCTCAGTTGCAAATACATTATCAGCTTCAATAAAGGAAGCCAATACATTTAAAATTTAAGATGTACATCTAGTCTTCTTGAACTCAACTTCAAAGACATGTGTTGATCTTATGCCTTCCTCACATTTGTAACAGCTTACATCACGTAAAGCAAGTCCGCAAAGAAATAGAGGAGTGTGATCAGAGCATGAACAAACTAATGCTACCAATTTCTTGCATTCTCACTGGTTTCTAATTGTTTACAAAGAGATAAATAATACATAACCAACAAAGCAGTTAGCTGCTGTACCAGCTGAGTGAGTGAATGGGTACTTTCATACTCACCCACCCACATCCATCCACTATTGGTAGTTGAATTAACCTGTTACTGCATGCAGCATAACCAGCTGGATGTCACTGTCTATGCTATCACTGGTTCGATTAAAACTGCCATTGACCATTGGGTCCCATCTCTCAATATCCAAATTCTCTCTTTCCAACTATTACCTTGTCTCCTTCAACATCACCCACTTGCCCCCACTTCTTCCCATCTGCAGGTCCTGTCTACACCACTCTTAATTCTCAACTCCCCGCTCTCTCCTCTGCTGGCTCAGCCAGAGGTTACCTTTGCTATTCTGTCCTCCATCTTCCCTTAATGCCTCTGACTCTCTCCCCCTGCAAGGTCCATCCCACTAACCCCCAACCCATGGCACACTCTAAATATTTGTTCAAGAGACGAGCAGAGGCAAAGTGCCATGACTACAGTCACTTCCTCCATCTCAAATCTGTTATCGCTGCTTTACATTCCACCATCTTCCTAGGCAAGCAGGGCTACTGTGCCAGTCACGTTGATTTCCTCGCCTGCAATCCTCTTTACTTGCTACCTTAGGAAAAGAGCAGTAAATTGGGTAGACCTTGCAATGCACATGGAATCCATCCTGGAGATTGCTATGGGTTTGGGGGTGGGAGAAACAAGTTCCAAACCCAAGGACCTCAATGAGGATATTATGCTATCCTTCCCCAATTTAGACAGGGGGCGCAGACCAGGGAAGAAGGGCCCTAAAGCTGAGGGACACCAAGAATGCAAGATTCTGGTGCAGATGATTAAGTGGAACAAGTGGTCGAACTAAAAGAGCCACATTTAGCAGTGGTGCAAGAGAGCTAGTGAACATATGTTAGTGATCTAAAAATCAGTTTAGTTTTACTTTACCTGGAGAAGCCTCTTGATGCAATCAAGGTGGCTGTTCTTTGCTGCAAGATGTAAAGCAGTGTGCCCTAAATTAATAAAAACAAAGCAAATTAAATATTCATAATTATGAATTGCACAAAGGTGAAATTATGTACGGTTCTCACCCCAACAGAATCAAAGAGGGGGCTGGGAAAGAAGACAACTCCACACCAGACTAAAGACAATTAAGTCTTATTCCAAAAGTAGAGACTACTGGTTCAGTTCAGGTGCCACAAAATAATCCCAGTTTATGATCCTACACGTATAAGGCCATGCAAACTTTATGTAAGATTTGCATGAGGATGGGTGATGAGGGTGGATCACTTGATGATTATCTGTTCATTCCCTTTGGGGCACCTGGCATTGGCCACTGTCAGAAGACAGGAAGATACTGGGCTAGATGGACCTTTGGTCTGACCAGTATGGCCGTTCTTTGTAAGAAGTCAATCTATCGCCCAAAGGGTGCATTTGGTCCGACCACCCTAGTTCATGTTTTCTTACCAAAGGGAAAGAAGCTGCGTGTGTAACTTTTGTTTCTTTAAAAATCAATATTGTGCTCACCATTGCCTAGATACCACAACAGAGATGGGCATATTAAAATATCCTACCTAGATCACAATATTTGGGTGTATTTACAGAAAACAAGTAATTCCCTCTTTTATAGGCATGCAGCCTCACTTAGAGCTCTCCAGAATTGCTGCACAGATATGTTCAGCAAGTGCTTTTGAGACAGCTGTCATCTTGGGACTGAGCCAGGGACATCCAGAGCTAAAAGCAGGAGCTGCTACACCTTGAGCGAAAAAGCCAGGCCCCTCTAGCTGGGGCTGTAACAGACTTGTATCCTCTGCAGATGAGGCAGAGGGGATGACCTGTAACACACTCACCAGGGACATACACTCAGCAGTCTCCTTTTGTGCCTGTTTTATCAATTTGTCAGTTATCAATATTATCTAACAATGCAATACTGTTTATAGAAACAAGAGCAAAGACTGCAATATCTCATCAGCTTTTATGCATATAACCCTGGAAGAAACGTGGAAGTCAGAAAGAAAAAAGTTAGCATATACCAACTGTGAAGAGGAGAAAGAAGCGGCCAAGAGACAGTGGTCTAATACGGATGCTCAAGAGCCATTGTTTGTGTGGTCAGTGGTACTACATGGAGGATGAGAGAGGACTACCAAAGCAAAGTTTCTTCAAACTGAAACAAGCATCAGTTTGAAGCTCAGAAGAGAATAGCTGCTCACCATTCAAAATGACGAATGGATTAATCAGTCCTAAAACAGGATCATAAAGTGACAAAGTTTGGGTCAAATTTTATATATGATGCACCTACAGTTTCAAAGTTAACCACTCTCCCAATTTTGCATGTGTAATTTGAATTCTTCCTCCAAAATCACAGAGCACCTCTCACATGTGATAAGTATTCTGTTGTGTGCAAAAAAGCTAACCCATCAAGTAGGTATTTTAGTCAGAAACTGATCTAGTCCACCCAATGTTTAAAGCCTATTATTGTGAGAGATGGAGTATTGATGGGTCATTCAGGCAAACTGGACTGGCTAGTTAACATAGAGTATTCATTCTGTACTTACCCCAACCGAAACACCATAGTCTATTAAAAACTCAGCCAGTTATCCCCCATTTTCTCTTTAAAGTATTAATGATAAAAGGCACAGGGATTTTCTTGAGAACTGAAACACTTCAGGCTAAATAGCTCTGAGCTCTGCTTTGGGCAATCAGCTCCTACCATCAGCCATCAATCCTCAGGAAATGCCCTGCTGCAATTCCAGTACAGTTAATGGGGTTAATAGTCTGGATACACAAAGTTAAGCCTAAAAATCTTTACCTAAACTAGGCAGAATCTTGTTAATTTCATATCTTCAGAACAGGTTTTATGTTGGAGAACCATCAATTATTTTGCAGTCTTGAGTCCACTAGCATGCTTAATTTTATAAACCCGAGGTTGAAATTTTCAAGACTGGAATTACGAGTTAAGGCACCAACAGTGTGTATGTTTATGTATGCAGGCATAATACTGCAATTGCTTTAATCAAATTGCTAAAAGATGCATGCAAATGAGCAGTAAAGCACCTAACAAATACAAGCTGTCCAAGCAGTCACCCAGTTTTCACAATCAATGTAGCTGCATAATTTCACGTGACATGTTGTTTACAGACTTCTCATTTTGAAAACACGACTTTGGTCTTGTCTATGCTACAGGGCCTTTTTCAGCATAGCTTAAGCAGCTACGTCGACAGAAGGAGTTCTGCTGGTGTAGCTCCGCCAATTCTTTGAATGACTTTAGCTATGCCAGCTGAAGCACTATCAGCAGAGCGGGCCTGCACTGGGGTTTTTGCTAGCATGGCTAGGTTAGCTGGGGCGGTGATTATTTCCACACTCCTTTCTGACACAGCTGGCAAAACTCTGTAGTGTAGACTAAGCCTACATCTTGTCCTACATAAAACATATAGCAAAGGCTCATAGTAATGTACCTGTACCATCCTGTGCCGTGACATCCACACCATGCGTCATCATAATTCTGAGGCACTCAGCATGTCCCTTTGCAGCAGCCAGGTGAAAACTGAAAGACAATTTACACTCAGCTGATTTTATTAACATCTCTTTTCCATTAGCATTAGTAAACCAACTGTTCAGCTTTTCCATTTTGCATCCCTCAACTCCTCCAAATATTCCCCAAGTATATTGTTCTCAAAGTGAATAATGAATGTGTGACAGCTAAAAGCGTCTTCCTTCCATGTTCATACTTCTACTCAGGATGACTTCTTACTAACCAAGTACATTATGCACAGTTCCTATCCAACTTCTAAACTAATGGCCAAATCCTGGCCCTACTGAAGTCAGTGGCAAGACTCCAGCTCAAGTCAGTGACGCCTGGACTGGTACTCGTCCTCAAGCAGAAGCAAATAACACACTTGTACTGCTCATCTACCCTCAATAAATTACCGAAAGATCACAGATATTGCAGAGTTGCGAGACTGTGGTATAAACATACTCTAATTTGGGGTTTTGCTTTTCACCATGCATTATCTTGCTTGTTGGCAAAGTAGGAAGTTGTGGAAGTTGCCAGCCACTAGAGACCCATTCAACAGAAGTAATGGCTAAAGACTTAACTACAGAGTAGACAGCAGTAGTTGTATTCTATCCAACCATTTCACACATCATCTCTGGTGTTTCAGGATTTACAGACTGTGTCCTGTGAACAGGCAGCCATGTGGTTTTACTGAGGTATGCTATGTGACCTATAGAAAGATGGGAAGCAAAGGGGGAGGAATGGGGCTTTTGAAAACTGGAAGAGTTAATGTATAGCATGTGCAATTTGACTACAAAGATGATTCATACGAGACACAGTATTCTGAGTGATTTTACTAGAAAATGACTGCGTACCAAGTTGATGAGTAAGTTGGACAGCAATTTGCTTTCAGATAGCTGTGTACATTCTCAGGACCACAAGCTGTGGGGTAAAACCCAAATCCAAAGGACAAAGGCGGTTCAAACTAATCCCAAACCACTACAAGTGAGAGATATGGAGGCAGCTTAAGCACGCATGCTAGCAATTGTAAAGAAACCAAAACTCCAATAGTAAGTAGCTTTGGTAGGGTCTTTTAAAAATTTGATTGCTATCAATACTACTGACCTCATCTGATGAAAACAACAAATTTTCTAAGATCAAAAAGGCAATTTAACATCATCATCGTCTCTTCTCCCACCTCCCAAATATCAACTACTGTATTTAAGAGTTTGCATTTTGGATGGTAGTTTTAATATTTAAAGGAAGCCAACATCAAAGATTTGCTTCCAAGTGGGCATCAGCCCACTAAAGATGATCTGGACAGAGAACCATGGGATCCTGGTCGACAACTAGGACTCTTAAGTGTCACAGGAAATATGAGAAGTGACAACAATTCTGCAGATGTTTCTGGCAGAGGACATCAGAACAGCAACACTACACTCTGCTAACCTGCATGTACCATAGCTATGCAGACTGAGGGCATACAAATATTGTATTAAAGGTTCTACTGAGAAGTTAATGAAGGTTAACAATTGGTGGGTGATAATGATCTAGATTGGAAGTGGTTTATACTACGGTTTTGTCTGTGGTTAAATTCATTATTCATTTACTTCTTTCCTTAAAACATGGCTCTGACCTACGTTAGTGGTCTTGTCTTTACTCTACAGCTTGAGTGCTCTGATTGCTACTAATAAACGCAATCACTTCACTGTCTTCTCTTCATTGATCTCTCATCATAAGCATATTTTGCAAGTTCTTTGGGGCAGGACCTTTTTCTTTCATGTGTGTACTGCACCTAGCTCAATGGGTCCCCACCCAATCCCAGCTTAGGGTCTATGGGCACCAGCATAAAATATACTATATACTCTTGATGGGGAATAGTACCCACAAAACCAGACAAAAATAAATCCTAATGGGCACTAATTTGCAGCCTTTAAAAAAAAAACAAAAAGAATCTCAATAGAGATGAAAGGACCAAAAAAAACAAGATCCGGGAAGGACCTGATCACGTTAGCAGAACACTTAAGCATGGGCTCAGCAGCTTGCAGGACTGAATCCTAGACCATGTGGAACTACCAGCTCACCCCCACCAGACCAGCGCTGCTAATCACTGTGGCAGAGGCTTGGAGTGCACTGCTCTGGCTTTAAACTGTTCTTGGGATACACAGAAATATCCTGTACATTCATCATGGCACCCACCACTGCCATAAACAACAAACTAAACATTTACAGCCTTTCTGAAAATATGCTAAAGAACATCAGAAGAATGTCTGGCTAGAGGGTGGTATATATTTATATATTAAAATACAAAACAAGACTCATGTACTAAGTGACCCATAAACAGAATCTTATAAACAAGATTTTTCCAGAATAAAATATTTCTCAATGTTCTGGGGAAAATGACTGGGAGAGGGAAGTGACTAGACCGATAAAAATCTAACCCCTCTAATTTAGCTAATACAACATTTCACCAATACTGAATCAGAATCAAAACACATCCATGTAGATCTCCAATTAGATCATAGCTACCCAAGATTAGAAAATGTGTGAAGGACACATTCGGCTTGTTTACATTTGGACACTATTTGTCAGAATCATAAACGCTTGCATAGTAACAACTTGGCTAAATCATGGACATTATGATTCACAGCCAGATTCTGTTTGCATAAAGGGTTGTGCCAATGTAACAAAAATACCCAAATGCATTGTCATAAATATAACGGGAAGGGTAAACACCTTTAAAATCCCTCCTGGCCAGAGGAAAAACCCTCTCACCTGTAAAGGGTTAAGAAGCTAGGATAACCTCGCTGGTACCTGACCAAAATGACCAATGTGGAGATAAGACACTTTCAAAGCTGGAAGGGGGAGAAACAAAGGTTCTCTCTGTCTGTGTGATGCTTTTGCCGGGAACAGAAAAGGAATGGAGTCTTAGAACTTAGTAAGCAATCTAGTTAGATATGCGTTAGATCTGTTTTATTTAAATGGCTGATAAAATAAGTTGTGCTGAATGGAACGTATATTCCTGTTTTTGTGTCTTTTTGTAACTTAAGGTTTTGCCTAGAGGGATTCTCTATGTTTTGAATCTGATTACCCTGTAAGGTATTAATCATCCTGATTTTACAGAGGTGATTCTTTTACCTTTTTCTTCAGTTAAAATTCTTCTTTTAAGCACCTGATTGCTTTTTCATTGTTCTTAAGATCCAAGGGTTTGGGTCTGTGTTCACCTATGCAAATTGGTGAGGATTTTTATCAAACCTTCCCCAGGAAAGCGGGTGTAGGGTTTGGGAGGATTTTTATTTTGGGGGGGGAAGGGTGGGGGAGAAGAAGACGTTTCCAAGCGGGCTCTTTCTCTGATATATTTGTTAGACGCTTGGTGGTGGCAGCAATAAAGTCCAAGGGCAAAAAGGTAAAATAGTTTGTATCTTGGGGAAGTTTTAACCTAAGCTCGTAAAAATAAGCTTAGGGGGGGTTTTCATGCAGGTCCCCATATCTGTACCCTAGAGTTCAGAGTGGGGAAGGAACCTTGACATGCATAATAAAAAGTTTTGTTGTATTTAGATAAAAACAGACTGCAGAGAAAGAATCAATAAGTGAGGGGGGGGGAAAGCAATCCCTTTCAGGCTACAGAATGCACCCAGATGTCTAAAAGCAACACTTCACTGGGGCAAATGACTTACACAGCACACTGCCACATGCCATCACTTACATGAATGTCAGGATCTTGCATGCTGTAAATGAATCAAGAAGTCTTCTCATTTTGTAAGTTTAAGCAAAGATGTATCAAACTTACAGAAATGTCATTCCAAAAAAAACTGAGAAGGGAAGAGGGAAGAACGTACACAAATAATCTGCATGTGTAAGAAAAAATTCACAACAGATATGAAGTGAATATCATCAAAGCTGAGAGAATAATGCATAATGAATAATTTGACAAGTTTTACCTGTTTGCTAGTTTTGTGTCAGTAGCTTATGTTTCTTTATAATTATACTTATTTGAAAATATTTGCTGAATGCCTATAAGTAATTCTTAGTTTGTAGTTCGCTCAGATAGTTAATATTTTGGAATTTGAGCCATCATGCAGGTTTCTGGTGTGAATCTTCACACTTACACGTTTTAAGTTTGCACTGTGAATATTCTAATAGTTGAGTAAATTTTACTCTTTCCAAAAGCATTCCTGCTTGCAAAGTTATTTGCTGAAATATTGATGGGAATTGATCAAGGAGTCAAACACAAGCAAAGCAAATTCAATTATTCTAACAAGTATTTGTGGGAAAATACTTTGGGTATTCACTCTGATCATAGCACTCCTCCATATGGGAACTCTGGTATCTTTATCTACACTGAAGTTTTCAGATACTTTAAATCTGAAATGCCAAAAGAAATTCCCATAGGATAATTTTTTTATATTGTTACATTCTGTGGCATTATATGGTAAACACATACAGGTTTTCAGCAAAGAACAACATTTAAACTACAAATAAAAAAAGGACCCAAGAGTCAGAAGGAAAGGAAGCTGCTGAATTTGCTACAATTTTTCATTCTTCACTGAAGAGTTCAGTGTGGCTTTGCATACCTACCGATCCCTTTAAGAACCTCAAGGAAGAGGGCAGATTCTCCAGATGTGTCTAGATCTTTAACTGCTTTTTCAATTCCAGGTAGAGATTTTACAATATTATTTATGTAGTGTGTTACAGATTGTATCTAAAAAGCTAGGGGCCTATATTTTGAGGAGTGACTATAGTGATTTTGCTTTAGCACATTGATTGGGCCAGATTTTCACAAAACGCGGAGCACTCATCCTCTGGAAGTCTTTCAAGGTATCTCAGCTTGGGCATCCAATAATCAGGGCTACCAAAAGCCTAGTCACTTTTGAGCGTTTAGGCCATGACCTCTGGCAAGTCCACTTACAGTCAACATCTGACAATTGACGTACGGCATAGCTTGGGTCCAAAAAGATGCACAGGCATTATTGGGAAGGTCACAGGAAGACCATGCAAAAAAATAAAATGGAATTTAAAAAGAAGAGTGGACATATGTGATGGAAGCCTAC